GAGAAAAAAACCCGCATTCTCTCTAACAGTTAATAATAAAAATAATGAACAAAAAGGATTTATTAAACGAGAAAAAAAAAACCGCATCCTCTCTAACAGTTAAAGGAAGTCGACATCCAAATCCATCTGCCCATCGTTGCGCTTAGCTAGAACCCCTGTACAATTAGCCTACTTGTTTCATTAATATTAACAATTTCGAACATTAAAAGTTCTTTTACCCCTTATTTTAATCGTAACCAGAGATGGAATTTAAAGAATTTGAGCCGCGGTTCAAATCCAACAAAACCCGGTCTAAAATTTAGCACCGGCCTAAATCTTGAAACATTTTAAGTGGAACCAACCATATTCAAACCGTGGCTTAAACCCAAACCGCTGCCCAAACTCCCCAAACTCGGCCACTGCTTTAACTTCAATTTATGGGTTAAAATATCATTTTGCACTTTAAATAATTAGCCATTTATAAGCTCATTTCTCTGCGTTTTAAATAATTCTGCTTTTAGCCCAATTGTTTGAAAAATATTAATCACATTTGAACATTAAATTACCCTTTTACCCTTGTGTTAATTGTACCCTGTTTTAACTTCAAATTATGGATAAAAATATCGTTTTGAATTTTAATAACGGATTAAAGTTCTGAACTTTAAATAATGATCTATATATAACTTCCTTTTATACGTTTTAGGTAATTCTGCTTTTAGCTTAATTTCAGAAATATTAACCACTTTTGACCATTAATTGACCTTTTTCCCTTTCTTAAATCGTAATCTTTTATACCTTCAATTTTTTGGTTAAAATATCGTTTTCATCTTAAAGTTGTTAAGCTTTCTAGGACTGAAATTTCGTAGTGTTTTTAAAATAATGGGCCATTTAACAAACTATTAGTTCCATGTCCTTTGACCTTAACATCTTTAAACTTTATCCTTGAATAAAAATCCATATTGTAATTTAACCGATGTGCACTTATCCTGTTTTAACTTATATTAACAGAATTAAATTAAAATCAAGATCAAAAAAACATTTAACAGTTAATTGACCATCCATTCCTTGCTTATAGAGTTAAACCAATGTTTTTTTTAAAAAAAACGGTTAAAAATTTCACATTGTATTAAACTGTTTATTACCTATCCTGTTTTAGCTTATATTAACGGAAAAATAAATAAAATCATAAGCCATTTGAAACATTATTAAAGCCAGTTAAATTCAAATTCTTAATATAACCAGGGCTTCTTTTCTGTATATTCATCCCTTATAACTTTTAGCCCTCAAACAGAAACAATTATTTAAAATTAATCAACAATTATATCAAAAAAATCTTTATTATTATACATATTCATGCTACTGATGACTCTGCAAAATACAAAAGTTAGTTATCGTACAAACAAGACACTCATTTAAGCAATATAATAATAGAGGACAAATAAGACTGTTCTGAACATTTATCTCTTGAGCTTTCTGTGACCTCTAGGGCGACTGTAGCCTCCAGTCCATGGGTCAATCTGAAGTCTAGCATAGGGTTTTGACTCTTGACTTCTAGGGATCCTGCCTTGTCCGTTATTAGCACTTCTTCCTGAACCAGTTCCCTGGCCCTTCCCCTTGATCCCTTGATTCTTACGACCAACCTCCGCCAAATTTCCTTGGATTGAAGCCTTAACGACCACTGGAACCTGCTCTTGCGTATCCTGTCGTTGATCTGCCCAGAAGTGAGCAAACAACTCCGGGCCGTACTCATTCATCACTTTTAGCCTGAACCCCTGATCCTTGGTTTGATGCAACTTGCTAGCATGACCTGCCGTGCCGCACCATGAGCAGCTGTTGGACATCCAGAAGCACTTTTCACTCCTGTGGTTATCCAGCCCACACCTGATACACACTTCCTTAAGCTCACATTCCTTGTAACCATGGTCATCTGCCTTACAGAAAGTACACTTAAATGATCTACCAACTGGAGATGCTGAAATATTGGAACTTGCCAGGTCGTCCAACCTGTTGACCATAGTTTCCTGTCCCGATTTAAGCTTGGTTATCTCAGCATGAAGTTCCGCAACTGCTTTAAGGAGTTGTTTGTTGATGTTCCACGCCCTCTCCGACCCCTCTTCCAGGCTTTTGATCTGCTGTTCAACTGTCGAAGGTTTCCTAACAGTGATAGGTTGCTGAGGTTTAGGTGGCGCCATCTCAACACAAGTCTCATCAGATGTCTTAGTAACAGGCTGGTGAAGAGCTCCACCCCTGTCCTTATAATCATTGTAAATGCCAACCACCTGTGATTTGAGCTCCTCCGAGAATCTGTCTTGCATAACTATACCAGTCTCCAGCAATTGAACAACAATTTCTTCCATTTCTTGGCTTGTTTCTGCACTTGGTATAAGGTCGGAAAAGTCTTGGAACTGTGAACAATACTTCCTCAGGTGCGCAATTCGGTCGTCCAACCTTGCCGGCAACATAACTCGACTAAAGTGCATCTTATTGGTTTCTAGCATATTACCAATTAACTAGAGTCCCTCCTCTGTTCCATACAGAATGAAACACGCTTTAATCTCATCATTATCTTTTGCTTTAATAAAGTAATATTGTTTCAATTCCATGGTTTAGCCGTAACTGACAGAGTCATACCACCCTGCATTGAAATCTCCATGCATTTGCCATGTGTCCCAAAATATTAAGTTATCTCGGCATTGCAGTACATATATGACGACCTTGTTTACTAATAATCGTACAGACGACATTTACAGATCACTAATCTGGACATTAATTTTTAGTATTTTTATACTTGTAGCATAAACACTCGTAACTTGTTAAAAAATATTGGAGTTAACAAAACCAAAACGATGTTATACACCAACATACTTTTAGTTTTGGTTTGCTTATTACTTATCATGTCTGGTATCTATTCCTACATAAATTCTCCAGATTAAACAACAATTAAAGAAAAAGAAAAGTTTCAAATTGCACATAACCTTCAGTGTTTTCCATACGTCACATAACATTAAATTACAAATTTTTCCACATTGTACATACTTTCAGTGTTTTACATAACATTTAAAAGGAATAATCTTAAACATAACATATTAACGAGAAATAATCTCAAGGTTTTGCATAAATTTCAACGTTAAAAACCTCAAAGCTTAACGAGATTAATAGGAAAAAAAACTCTAGGTTTAACATCCATTTCAAGAGTTATTTATTAATTAGTCATAATAAAGTTGGCTATACACACCATAATAATTATGGTACTCTTTACATATTTCTTTATACTCTGAATAAAAGCTTATTATACAAAAACCTCTATAATTGAAAGAATTGTCCCCCTAAGAAGTTCTGCACTTCCTATAACTTTCATTTAGCTCTTCTGCTAATTTGCATCATTGACAGTTAGGCATTTTTCCAGTATTAGCTTTTTCTTATTTGAACTCCAGCCTTCTCCAGTCAATTATCGTCATCATTGGCAAGGAACGTACAGTAAAACTTTAGCTCTATACTCTTTCGTACAGATGATGCATCCCGTGTTGCCAACTTATTTAGCATAACTGCATAGCCATAACATACCCTGAAATACAAATGTTAAATATACTTATAAGTTATGAGGATACGTAAAACTACAAAAAAGTTACATTAGCGTGAAGAAGTTAAGTAATCAATGCCCTCATGAGAGGTTAAACTTTATGATAACAAAAGTTATCTTTCATTTAATCAGACTAAGCTAACTAGTCTAAGCATAATTAGAAGGAGAACAAAAATCTTTTATTTAATCAAATTAAGCGACCTATTCTAAGATGATTCTTAGTTAATTAACAAATAAGAGTTTATACAAAAAACAGCGGATTAAATAAGATGACAAAAAGATTCTAATTAAAACAGCAGAATAAGTTAGAAGACAAATAGTATTTTTCACAAAAACATAGAAGACAAAACCAAAACCTGTTAAATTATTTCCAAGTACTAATTGGCAGAATACCATAAAATCATGCATGCAAATTTATCCCAAGTTTCATGCATTACGTTTCAGTCCCACCGAACACCTACAGTACATTCTTAAGTAGGGCAACTTACGAAATACCACACCCTACCTTTGTCCACAGTCCCCAGAGTCCCTCCATACATATCTCGGAATCTCGAATTGCAAGATAGGATGTCGTCCTCTTTCTAGATTTCATCGACTACAATTGCTCCTTCTTGCCAGTTGAAGCTTTCTCAGGAGTTTGTAGAACAGTTACTGTTCTCATCAATTCAGGGACTGGACTTCTTTGAATATGTGAATCCCTGTTTGTGACCTTAGACGGGGTATCGAATTTATAGTGATACCTACTGAGAAAGCTGTAATTTGTAAGAGTTTCGTCTGCTATGTTCACATTTTGTTTGTTTATGTTTTGACTGCATACGATTGTACTTAGTAAAACAAGAAAATTGCAGTATACAAACAGAGTAAACTTGTCCGTCTACACTTTTCATCCTGCGGAGACATTATAGACACATCTTTGCAGTCTTTTACCCTTTTCATAAAATAAACTCTAGCAGACATAATAATATTATGGCTTTTGAAATTAGGCATTACAATGCTAATTCATAACAAAGACGATATCGAATTCGTCACTGAATTCCCATGTTTTTTGGGACACCCTGTATGTTAGGAAGATATAGAGGAGTGATATGTGTGAAAATATAAGGTAAGCATTAAACCATGAAATGTGATTAAAGTATGTTTAGAGATATCAGCGTTTTTCTATTTTAAAATAAATTATTTTTCTATTGTGGTTTTTCTACGATGTTAATGGCTGAACATTGCCGTAAAAACCTATTCAAGCTGAACAACTCTAACGTAATATTGATCAGATAAAGGTTTAATAGGTACCTCTGTTAATCCGGACTGTCCCTATATTTAATCCCGGCATTTACAAAACCAGTTTTAATCTCAGATACAAGCAAACAAACAAAAGCAAATTCTAGAAGAAACAACAGTGAAAACTGAAATATTTAATATGTAATAGATGATTTTTACAATCTAGGAAAACGTTTGCCCGGAACGGATACCCTGGCTGCAGCCTTCTACCATTCGGATCCACAGTAAATGGTTTAGGGTTCAGGGGATGTGATCTAGATGTGTATCTTGACCTAGGTATGTAATAATCTAATTAATTACTAGTGATTTTACAGATTTTTTCTAAATTAAATTTGTGTATTTGTGTTTAAAATTGGAATATGCATAGGAGGCAAAGAAATGTTTATTGAGTGTGATCTGTTTTAATTTTTAAAATATATGGTTTTTTTGTGAATGGTTTTATAGAAAATTGGATAGAAATAAAAGAAGTACCAACCGTTTCATTTCTTGTGAACACTTACTTACACTGTTTTTAGGGGATATACCCTGGGGCCCTAGTTCAAGAAACCCCCTGATCAGTGTACCTGTCACGCTCACGGAAGTTCAAAAGGTGCGGCTTGCAGCTCGACTCCTTAGGAAGGATATTAGTAATCGTGAAATATTTCAGTATTTATCTACGGACCTTGTAACTTTTGAATAAATTAGATTAATTGATTTTAATGAGCTGATAAGCTGAACTCAGTTTCTCGTCTCTTATTGGTCAAATATCGACACAAATTTTACCCTATGAATTATTGATAAAGAGTTTTCCTTTAAGTTCATTAATTTTAATACTTTTTTATGATTATAAAGAAGCGAAAACTGTAATAATGCTGAGGCCCTGATTGAGTGTTGAATTTTTATTGTTATCCATGTTGTACAGACAAATCCCTCAGTGCTGTAAAATAGTTCCTATTACAAGCGCTAGAGTCCCAATAGGTCAGTTCTAATTATGTTAAAGGTTGTTCCTTTTTTTATTTGGCTTGAACCAAAACAATATGTTTTGGAACTGTTGCAATTCCTGAAGCAATAATCAAAACATGACTTGACTTAAATGAAATTGTTGATTAAAGATAAAAAAGTTTTTGTTTTCTAATTTTTGATGAGTGTGTTTATTTTCAGTAAAGTTTGTGCACAAGATATCTGGAATCAACTGTGATATATCGTTTAAAAGTCGAGCTAGCAGCTTAAACTCGGAGTATATAAGGTTCAGTGCTTTTAATCAAAACTTTGAAAGAAGGATTTCGTAAATATTTAATTATAAACAAACAAAATGTAGCCCTTTCTAATACTATTTAGTACTTATTTTTAGAAATATATAATATATAAGTAACCTTATTCACATTATTTTTTCAAGCAAATTAAATTTTTTTTTTAAACTCTTTCTGCACTTTACCCATTGTTTAATAAATTAATTAGTATAATTAATTGAATATTGTAATTGATGGTCTCGTGGTTGCATAAATACACATATAAGGGGGGGGGGCAGAATAATTACACCCGGATTAATCTGATATTTTACTGCACATTTTATTTAGGTTTTGCACCGAGTTTGATTCTAGGGTTAGACCTCTCATGATGACAATCAGACTCTTCTGTAAAACGTAAGAATTTTGATTTGTAAACTCAGTGAAGATGTACAGAGGGTATTACTCTAACGTGATTTAAATTTATATCATTTATTCTGTCATGTTAAAAAAATCGCATAGCGAAATGTTTTGATCATAGCTTTCTAATTAACTCTTAATAAGTCTTATGGTATGCTATATTTCTTCTAATGCATTGCAACATTAAAAAGATGATTTTCCGATATTTACTTCTAAAGCTATCGAACATGCATATTACCCATCCTGGGGAGGGGGGGGGGGGGTTATGCAGCTAATTGAACGCAGCAAAACAGCCAGAAAACAAGAAGATTGGAAAATTAATTATCTGCATTCTGCATTAAATACATTATCAATAAATTTGTTTTATAAAAAATCTGGAAAAGAAAAGAAAAAACGTTAGAAAACTTTTAAATTTAATTTTTAATTAAAATTTTAAATCAAAGGAAATAAGTCTTTGCCACAATTTTAGTTATTGTAAAACCTATATCTTTACAACCTTATGATGTGAACCTTTGATATTTCAAACTTACATTATTTGATCTAATAGCATTCATAGTTTGAAATATTAAAGTTCTATGACATTTGATTGCAACGATATTGAAATTAGAAAATCAGATTTTGTGACAAAAACTCAATTCCTTTAAATTAAATAAATCAAGTCAAATATTTTTCTGCAGCCAACATAACAACAAATTAAACAATATATATATAAAAAATACAACTAAAAAAATACTGCAGCAGGGGGACTCAGATGCTGACAACTGTTTTCACAAAGCCCTCCTGTTGTCCAATTGAAATTATATTATTGATATTGATATTTGTGGGGTGGGGTGGAGAGTGTGTGACACCAGTTCTCGTTAGATCACTGAAGTTAAGCAATTTGTATAATATGTTTTCTGTTAGTGCCCTTAATGTTTTTATTTTGGTTTCCATTTTGTTCAGCCGTATAATACTTTTTTTAATTTCCTTGTTTTCATTGAATTTTTTTTGGTTTTTTCTTGTTTCCTTGTTTCCTTGTGTTTTTTTTTCTGTGTTTTGGGTTTTATGGGTGTTATTGTTATTGAAAGTGATGCTGTAGGTATGATTTATCTGGTGGAGGCGGGGGTATGCGTATATCCAACTATGCTCTAACTATGCTGGTCATCTTCTACCTTCAGCAGCTTCATCAACCTCTCCTTCATTCAGTTCATCAGCTACAACAACACATAGGTAGTGGTGTACCTTCAGTTGGTTCATTTTTAGGTCGTATTTGCACTTCATTTTCTTTCACGCTCAAAAATTGGCATATTAAAAGAAAATCAAATTCAAAATGTTTTATTCTAAACATTTGATTTTCTTAAACTATGTCACATTTGACCCTGGCAGAAGATACATAGAAAAAAGGACCCAAAAACGATGCATTAATGAACTTGTAAAGAAGAAGTTTACTTGAAGTACGAGAATCTAAATTTTATGACTGAACTCAGAGGAATGAACAGAAAAAAATAGTTTTCTTTAATTGTCAACTGTAATTCAGTATGTTTTTAAAAAAGAGTTTTTTATGTCCAATTCTTTAAAAGGTTTTAAATACCCCTCCTCAAACAAGCCGTTCCCCCCCCTCCCCCTCCCCCGACTCACGGAAAAGTTCGTTAATTAGATCGACCCCACCCCAACTCAATATTCACACATCCACACAGTTTGTTTTTAATCTTTGTGAAGAAACAATCTCAAGGAATAATAATTGTCCAAAAACATTTTTTTAGAAAGTGAATATTTGCAAATTATCTTTTTCCCATCTCATAATCTGAGTTCTTTTCCCTTATGTCCATTTGACAGCCCAAATTTTTATTTTGAATAATCTTTTTGTTTGTTTATATTCTTGTGATTTTTACATTTTTTTAATTTTTTTAATCGATTTTGATGGTTATTATATCGTTAGAACTGACGAGGGTCAACCCAGACCGAAATATATTTTCAATAAATGTGGAACTAACATCTACTTTTTTACTCTACAGAGGTTTGGTCCATCACCATCACTGAATTTTAAATCTTGTAAAGATAGTTTTTGGATTGTTTTTCCATTTAAATTTTTTAAGGATATTAAAATAAAAGCCAACTTCAACATAATACATTTTTAAAGTCTAGAAAGTTTTATTGATTTCTTTTCTAAAAATTAACAACCCTACATATAGGTATTGATGGGCAACCAGCTTTGCTCTTTTTTAACAATTTTAATGATTTCGGACTTTTTAAATGCACCAACAAATAATGTTAAGATTCCACAAACTATATTTTTTTAATTTAGATTTTTAATAAACTTTTATTCCTAAGAAAAATATTTTTAAAAAACGAAGAAAAGTTAGTTTTTTATTCTTTTTTATTCTTTTTTATTCTTTTTTACTCGTTTTCTGATTTAAATTCTCTCACGGTTAAAATTTGAAAGGGTCTACAGTTAAAGGCTATTATTTTGTTAACAATGCTTTTGGAAGTTAAATTATGGGGTTTACCAAGGCAATATCTTAAAGTTTTCAATGATACAAGATAAATATTTTCTTTCAGACCTGATTTTTGTTTTATTGTGTTTTCTTCTAAGGTTTATTAAGTTAAATTAAAAATCTCTAACTCGATTTACATAAAAACGGTAGTTTTGTTTGTCTAGAGGGTTCTTATGAAATGATCAGTGGTTGGAACTGTTCATTTTCTTCTGATCCCAGTAAACTACCCTCTCTACCTGTTAATAAACAAGGTAGGAGTACATGTAAACTACCCTCTCTACCTGTTAATAAACAAGGTAGGAGTACATGTAAACTCTACCCTCCCTCTCTACCTGTAAATAAACAAGCTAAATACTTGATAATTTTAGTTGAAGAGCGCAACTGATCGAGAATGCCGCGCATCAATCATATTTTTGTGAACTCTGAATTTTATGTACTTATCCGCTCTTGGCAGAAAGCGTTTTCAATCATTTCCTCCTTGACAGACGCTACAGATAGAATTCAAATTAGTAGCGATCGAATTCAAATTTGATTCGGATTCAACCTTTCTTTCATGTGTTGCGAACACTCCGTTTAAAGCTTCTGACATCATTATTTTGGCTAAAATCATTTAACCCTGAATTATTCTAGATGTGTGTTTAGGATTGTTGGAGCTACTTCATGGTTTCTTCAGTTTGTACAGTTGTATTGATTTCTCTAGTAACTTCATCTCTCCCTACCTAGGCAGGCTGGTCACCAGGCACACCCTGCAAACCAACATACCTCAGGTTACAAAAAGAATAAATTTAAATCAACATTTATTACTTGAAAACTTGTTTTTAGTCTTTTTGTTATTGTGTTAAGAATAGTTTTGCCTATTAATTAGCTTAAACTTAATTGAACACTTGAATTTTGTTGTTAATTTTATAGCATTTAGTTTATAAGTTTGACATTTACCTTTTTTATTGTTATTTTTCATCTTTTGCAATTAAACAATATTTTCGGTTTAGATTTTATTTTCTTTTGACTATACTGTAATTAAAATATTGATTTGGCGGCTGGGAACTTACTCCTGAAAGTAAGGGCATTTAATCAAGTGAAGAGATAACAAATCTAATTTTAGGAGTTTTCCGGTTGTCAAGATTTTCTTGGTGGGAGAGAGAACAGTTTGGATATTGATAGACCTATTTGTTTACAGGTTTATACATCTATTAATTTTGTGATGTGAGGAGAAAAGTATTGTTTGCATAGAAACCGACCAAAACAAAATCTAAAATTTTTACTTCAAAAGTTCTTGTGATTATTTTAACAATTTTTTTTTCTGCGAGCATTGTTACTTCAAGTTTTATTTGAACGGTATACGAACAAATTCACAGATATCTATATTTTTTCTTTGAAAATTTAAAAAGACGATATAAAAACAAATACATGGAAAAATTTACCGTTATTTATCCTAGGACCCTTTTGAATTGAATGTGAACACATGTAAGGGATTGCCTGTAAAAGCTGTCTCTATTCTTCAATGTTTCTTCAAGGCTGCAACCTCGGTATGCCAAGATCTAGTCTCGACATCAACACAGTCTCCAGGTCATATTTTCTTAATAGATTATTTTCAGAATGGAATTTTTTTAATGGAGATCATCAAGACCGTAACAATTATGTATCCAAAGTTGTGATTTTTGTATTGTATTAATGTATATTCTGCTAAGTTCATGAATTCAGCGGCTGAATTTCATATCTAGAAGCAGTTTAACAGATGTTTCAACTTCTTAATTCTACTCCCAAGTCTAGGGTTCTTGGACTTTCTGCAAATTTGCTAAAGATACCTTAAAGCAGATGTTCATAATAATGATTTTATTTTAGGTGGACTGAACCGTCTGTTCGAACTCCAGGTTACACTTCCTAAAGAGAAGACGATTGGTGACCTTGTGGCTTTATTCAACCGAGCACCTGGAGTAAAAGTATACTGCGCTGTTCAGCTCCCCTGTATTACTGCAGAAGAGATGAAACCTAACCTGAAAGATAATGATGATACTAGTCTTATTGAAACTAAGCCTGACAGTGATATACCTGAATCAGACCTGAACTCTGTGATAGATCCTCTGAACCAGGTCCAAGACATCCTGTACACTATATTCAAGACTGTTCTCAAATTTGAGATGATAAACTCTGATCCTGGAACTGCTAAAGTAGAGATTGATAATACTAGCGAAGACGTAGCTGTCGACAACATTATTGAAAATGATGCAGAAGCAAAACAAGCCAATGACAAGATGCAAACTGAAGATCAGATTACAGAAACTGAAGAACGAAGCGAAGAGATTAAAACAGGAGACAACCAACAGGATGAGAATACAGATGAAGCATCAAACTCAAAGCGCAAATCTGATATAGATTTAAAGTTCAAAAATGGAAAGGTTAGAATTAAAAAACTAATTAATTAATTTTTTCTAATAAAAAAACTTATTTATTACAGAAACGACGACAAGATTCATTCACCGCAAATCATTTCATATCTCAGGTTTATAGATTTTACTCATAACATTATATATATACCACTTTTTCTTTTCAAACATTACATATCAATTTTATCATATTTCAATTTCAAACATTACACATCAATTTTTATTGTTTTTTAAACATTATACAGTAATAACCAGAAAACTGGAGAATAGGATGACGACATTAAAGCAATTCTGAAAGGCATTTGATGTTGCTGCAAAGCAAATAGCTTTACTAGTAAGTTATCAAATCACATATTAAGTGAAATGGGTCTGTTTACACTGCACATTTATTGTGCCTCACGTTCTTTGGCCAATTTAAAGTCATAACCTGAGTCTAAAAGTCGCCTTCCTATTCCAGAGTTTTCTGGTTATCACTGTACATCAATTTTATTTCAAGCATTTTACATCAATTTTATTATATTTTAAACTTTATACATTGATTTTTTTATATTTCAAACATTATACATCAATTTTCTTATTTTTCAACATTACACATCAATTCTATTATTTTTTTGAAAATTATACATCAATTTTATATTATATTTCAAACATTATACAGCAATTTTATTATATTTCAAACATTATACAGCAATTTTATTATATTTCAAACATAGTACAGTAAAATTATAATTTAAACAATTTACAGCAATTTTTTTATGTTATCCTTTTTATGTCAATTTTATCATATTTAAACATTTACAGAAAAAAATAGCAAAAAATAGCAATAATAATGTTTTTTTTTTAAATCATTTGATCTGAAGGATTGGAAGTTGACTGCTCCAGTCTGGATTTCTAGGAAGAAAGTATCTGATTCTATTCCTGATCAGAACACAGAACTACAGGTACAATTCCCAGTCAGAACACAGAACTACAGGTACTAATCCCAGTCAGAACACAGAACTACAGGTACAATTCCTAGTAAAAACACAGAACTATAGGTACTTTTCCTAGTCAGAACTACAGTCAGAACACAGAACTACAGGTCAGAATATAGAATACAGAACTACAGGTACTATTCCTGGTCAGAACACAGAACTATAGGTACTTTTCCTGGTCAGAACACAGAACTACAGGTATTATTCCTGGTCAGAACACAGAACTACAGGTACAATTCCCAGTCATAAAACAGAAATGCATATGTATTATTAACAGTAAATGAGAATATTATCAACTCCATGGTGCCGAGGAGTGTAAAAACACGAAATAGATAGTACAATAGATAAATTGGAATGATAATTTGTCTTTCACTTATCAGCTTTAAAGTGAAGACTATCTTTTCCATACATTTTATTTATTTATTCTTATAGTAAGCTTATTAGTCAATATATTTATTATTTAGAGGGAAACTCTGATCACTGAGCGGATACTGAAGGAAATAAACGGGAAGGAGTATCCAGAAGCTGAGATATTATTCAGAACTTATCTAGCGATCATCCAGGTTAGATTATTCCTAGTGATCATCCAGGTTAGAGTAAACCTAGCGATCATACAGGTTAGATCATTCCTAGCGATCGTTCAAGTTAGAGTTCCCTAACGATCACACAGCTCAGGTTAGAAAATACCTAGAGATGATGCAGGTTTCAGTATTTTTGCGATCACACTTGTTAGAGTTTACCTAGCGATCATACAGAATAGCGCGATCATACAGAATAGCTTAATAGACGCCAAAAGTACTGGGTGAAAATGTTAGAATAACTTTTAAAATATTTGAAGTATTTAATATAAATAAAAGACTTATTGTTGAAAAGCTGAGGTCATTTAGAATTTAGTGCACGATGTTGTTTAATAGAAAAAAAAAACAGTTTTGATATATTTGATGCTACTCTAGCGTTCTCTTTGTATCGGTCTACAAGTATGTATTTGATGTTACTCTAGCGTTCTCCTTGTATCGGTCTACAAGTATGTATTTGATGTTACTCTAGCGTTCTCCTTGTATCGGTCTACAAGTATATATTTGATGTTACTCTAGGGTTCTCCTTGTATCGGTCTACAAGTATATATTTGATGTTACTCTAGCGTTCTCCTTGTATCGGTCTACAAGTATGTATTTAATGATACTCCAGGGTTCTCCTTGTATCGGTCTATAAGTATATATTTGATGTTACTCTAGGGTTCTCCTTGTCACCTTGTGTCGGTCTACAAGTATATATTTGATGCTACTCTAGGGTTCTCCTTGTATCGGTCTACAAGTTTATATTTAATGTTACTCTAGGGTTCTCCTTGTATCGGTCTACAAGTATATATTTGATGTTACTCTAGCGTTCTCCTTATATCGGTCTACAAGTATGTATTTGATGATACTCTATGGTTCTCCTTGTGTCGATCTACAAGTATATATTTGATGATACTCTAGGGTTCTCCTTGTATCAGTCTACAAGTATGTATTTGATGATACTCTATGGTTCTCCTTGTGTCGGTCTACAAGTATGTATTTGATGATACTCTAGGGTTCTCCTTGTATCGGTCTACACGTATGTATTTGATGATACTCTATGGTTCTCCTTGTGTCGGTCTACAAGTATGTATTTGATGATACTCTAGGGTTCTCCTTGTATCGGTCTACAAGTATGTATTTAATGATACTTTATGCTTCTCCTGGTATCAGTTTACAAGTATATATTTGATGATACTCTAGGGTTCTCCTTGTGTCGGTCTACAAGTTGTTTCTTCTCACAAGAAAACCTACGAGAGTTTCTTCTTTTGGCTCAGGAATATTATTTATTTATTAATTTCTTCTAAGCATTTTAGTTTTGTTTTTAACTTTTCTTATAATTGATAAATTGCACCTACAAATGACACTCCGTTATGGGGTGGTATGCTTGATTCAAATCTACTCCTTTAAACCTTTGTCTGATAATACATTTAATTATCTTTTCAACAATAACGAAGATATCTTCTTCATTATTGATCAGACAAAAGTTTAAAGGGCACTTCTGTGAATCGGGCATACACCTCTTTGAGGGTAACTAGAAAATACACCGATAGTCCCTTTAAGAAAGAATTGGACTATTGTGAGCTGTTCAACGATCTCTTGCTTCTTCATTTCATTTTATTTTTATCAAATTATAACTGCTGAAAGATCAGTTCGAATTTGTCAATAATTTTAGGAATAGATAATATTGATCTAGATCCCATCTACCTGACCTATACAAACGGATTTCAAAAGATAAAACAATCAATCAAATACAGGCAGTAACCAGCTCATAATTCAAGCAAAGAATATATCTGTGAAATGATCAGGATGTGATCAAAGTTTTCAATCTTTGCGAAAAGAAAACATATTGGTTAACATTCTATGTTTTAAAATTGTCGTTTTTTAGAGCATCACTAATTTCTGTTTTTTAAAGATGTTATTTTGTTTTCCGTACGAATAAAAACTAAAATAAATACGTAGCAAACCTTTTTGGTACAAATTAGAAAATAGTGTGTATCATACCATTGCCCAACAAGTGAACAAGTATTAAGAACAAGCATAATTTATAACTTATACTATGTAGTAGTTTAAAAATTCATATTTAGTGACCCTTCAGTTAAAAAAGTAACATGTCAAATTCACGCCAATAATGTCGAGGATAACGTCGTTTTTATTTCTTGACTAATGCTCAATTCTGATGATGAAAAAATTAGATGAATAGATAAAAAAAAAAAAAAAAAAAAAAAATGGATATCTAATGTATACACTTGATGAAGCGTTTAACGGAACCGCTGTGAATCGGACATGCCACTCTACCAATATTAGTTTACTGGAAATTAAGTTTATATTTTGAAAGTCTTTTTTACTAGAAACTTATTCTTATGTTAGTTAAGGCACCCGGATGTGGGTTTTCTGTTATAATAGCCTTAAAATATTTAGAATATTTTTTTCTTTAAACAATTTGTATACGCAACCCAACTTGCAGAATATGCTCATTTTGCTCAATTATCCTCATAAAACCTGAAATCTTAATATCAGGGGTAATATGAACTGGGAGAGAAGGGGATTATCTATTATAATTTGAGAATACTAATTTACGTTGTAAAAAAGTTAAAATGACTAAATTTAAATTTTTCCGGGCTTATTAGTTAATACATCTGTTAAAATATAGGGGTAGATATTACAACAACCCCACCTCACTCCCTTCCAGTACTACTGGGGTTTTTATTTACACTCAACACATCTTCCTTATAGTATTTTAGGGTTACCTTCAATGAATTTTTCACATCCTCTGAAACTATTCACAAGATTTTATTATGAATACTGAGGATTAAAGTAAATCTTCAGATCGTTGTTTCTCCACAGTTTTAGGTCGTCGTTAAATGGTCAACCTTTGTGGGTGACCCTGTACTAACCACAGGGGCGTATACAGGAAATTCACAATTAAAGGTTTAATTCTTTTCTTTCGAGGGGGGGGGGGTTATCAACCGTTGGGGCCCGACAACCAATACCATGTGTTGTATATATATAGACACTGAGTTATAAATATTTCGGCAATTTTCCCCCTGAAACCCCCGGAATGAGAATTGAGTGAAGGACACCGGCAATTCAAATTTAGTTGGGGCGGCAGGTTGTATTTTAAACTTTTTGTCAGTTCTACCTCGTCAAACGGTCAAATTGTGTTTCCAGTTTTTGCATTCTGTCTATCTAGCGCAATATACACAATATACGCGAGCGAGCCGGCAAAGGAGTGTGTATATGTATGCAGCGTAAATAATATCCTCATTTCTGGACTCTGTACCCTAAGATCCTGAATGAATGTATAAGGGTGGTTAAACCTATATCTGAACTCTGTCCGACGCCACGCAGACTGCTAGTATCACGAAATATCCCTGATGCTGGCCCACCGTTAAGGTTGCCCCAGGGGAAACTTTAAAATCCTCATTCGTCTCCCCATGTTCTTCTTATTCTTCTCCTCCTCATTCTTCTTCTCCTCATCCTTTTTCTTATTTTTCTCCTCCTCATCCTTCTTCTTATTCTTCTCCTCCTCATCCTTCTTCTTATTCTTCTCCTCCTCATACTTCTTCTTATTCTTCTCCTCCTCATTCTTCTTCTTATTTTTCTCCTCCTCATCCTTCTCATTCTGCTCCTCTTCATCCTTCTCCTCATTCTTCTCCTTATTCTTCTTATCATTCTTCTTCTTATTCATCTCCTTATTCTTACCAACCTCATTCTTCTCCACCTCATTCTTCTCTTCTCCATTCTTCTTCTCCTCAACATCCTTCTTTGCATGCCTCTCCTTTGATCCTTTTTCTCATTCTTCTCCTCATCCTTCTTCTTACTTTTCTCCTCCTCATTCTTCTCCTCTTCATCCTTCTCATTCTTCTCCTTATCCTTCTTATCATTCTACTTCTTCTGATTCTTTTCCTCCTCATTCTTCACCACCTCATTCTTCTCCTCTCCATTCTTCGTCTCCTCATCCTTCTTTGCATGCTTCTCCTTCTGATCCTTTTTCTCATTCTTCCCCTCCTCAGCCTTCTTCTCCTCATACTTCTTCTCCTCATTCTTCTCCTCCTTATTCTTTTTCTCATTCTTATCCTCCTCATCTTTCTTCTTATTCTTCTCCTTATTCTGCTTATCATTCTTATTCTCCTCATCTTTCTTCTCATTCTTCTCCTTCTCGTCCTTCTCCTCATTCCTTCTCCTAATTCTTCTCCTTATTCTTCTCCTAATTCTTCTCCTTATACTTCTCCTCCTTATCACTTACTCTTCTATCTACTCTTCCTCATTCTTGTTCTTCTCTTTCTTTACCTTCTCTCCTCCTTCCTAATCTTTTCATTTTCTTCTTCTCTCCTCCTTTTTCTCCTCTTTGTTTCTTCCTTTTGCTCATTTGCTGTTTTCCCCTAGTTTCCTCCTTCTGCTTTAGTTTTTTTTCTTTTAATTCTTCTCCTCTTACTTCTTCTCCTCCTCCTCCTCCTCCTCCTCTTCTACTCCTTTTTTCCCTTCTCTTTTCTGTTGTTCTCATTTTTCTCCTCCTTCTTTCATCCTCCTTCCAATATTTTTTTTGATTCCTTCTTTTCTCCTACTTCTCTTTCTCTACGTTTTTCTCCTTCTCTTTCTTTCTCTTTTTTACTCCCTTTTTCCTTCTTCTCATTTTCTTATTTTTCTCATTCTATTTCTTTTCCTTCTACTTTTCCCTTCTCTTTTCGCTTTCTTCCTTTTCCTTCTCCTCTTCCTTTTCCTCGTTTTCTTCCCCCTCCTGCTCACCTCCCTTCTCTCCCACCTCCTCGTTTTCCTTGTTTGAGTTGAAATGAGGAAAAAGAAAGATTGACATATGGTAAACAGCGTAAATACAGGATCCTACAAATTGGTTGAAAAGTAGTAATTGTGAAAAGTTTAGGTTACGCTAATTACATAAAATGCAACTTTAGCCAAGTCTAAGGAATTGAACGTAACGAGGACCGATTAAACAAAATAACGAGGTGCCCAGCCCTTGATTGTAATCCTATAAAGGTTTATGCCTGATATATTATGTTCTAAGAATCTTGATATCTATATTGGCTGAGAACTCTTTATCTTGTTCTATAATATCATATTATAAACTTCTACCTTGAACCATTATTATTCCTTATCTATTACATGTTCACCATGCCAGGCTAGTTTTCATCATTGAAGGGATTGAACACGTAATTTCAAGTGACCTTCCATTGAAAAAACCGTGATATGTCCGATTCACAGTTGCGCCCTTGAAACCTCAAGCTGAGGTGAGATGAGAACAGTTTTTTATCTTTAAAAATGTGTTCATATCGGACAATTTCTTTAGAAATGCATAATCTCACATATATTGATCAAACAACGGTCTACAAGGCACCGTTGTGAATCGGGCTTGAAACTCTAAAAATCAAGGTAAATTTAAAATTATGTCTCAAGAGTCTCAAGTCCCTTTAAATATGCAATTTTTGGTTAAAACCTGAATGAACTGGTCAGAGCCGGCGATTTAAAAAATTCAAGAAAATACGACTCGGGTCTAAGCTGTTGTTGAGCCTTATTTACGGCTCGGGCTTTCGAATTTAAGTTGCATCTATTTTTCAACAGAATTTAGTTCATAAAACCGGTTTAATGTTGTATTTGGCGGATTTTCATAGTTGGAATTGGTGCATTCCGGGTTTTGATGAGAATAAGACCCAACATTGAGCCTTATTCTCCACTAAAACCAACCAAGGTCGGTTTTATTTTCATTGGGCCTAACTCCTTAAGTCGAGTCTAAGATCTCGCAGCTGTCAATCACGTGACACAAGCTGTCGTCAGAGTTGGGTCTAAGATTGGGTCTTAAAGTCGGGTTTAAGGAATTAAGACTCGAGCCGAAGCTTTTAAATCGCGGGCTCTGATTAAGTAAAAGATATTTGTCAATGTGCAGTATGCATGCTATGTCTGGCTTGTATTGATCATTAGCATAAACCCTATTTACAGGGAGATTCATATTTAATAACTAGTCTGTTCAATTTATATTTTTTATCCAATCATTGATTAGATTTTAAGATTATATTTTGTTCCTTTTGCTCTGTTTGGGTTCTAGAGGTTCTAATCTGAATTTAGTTTAGGTTCAGATTCTAGAGGTTCTAATCTGAATTTGGTTTAGGTTTAGATTCTAGAGGTTCTAATCTGGTTTAGGTTTAGATTCTAGAGGTTCTAATCTGAATTTGGTTTAGGTTCAGATTCTAGAGGTTCTAATCTGAATTTGATTTAGGTTTAGATTCTAGAGGTTCTAATCTGAATTTTATTTAGGTTTAGATTCTAGAGGTTCTAATCTGAATTTGGTTTAGGTTTAGATTCTAGAGGTTCTAATCTGGTTTAGGTTTAGATTCTAGAGGTTTTAATCTAAATCTGGTTTAGGTTTAGATTCTAGAGGTTTTAACCTAAATTTGGTTTAGGTTTAGATATTAGGGGTTCTAATCTGAATTTGGTTTAGGTGTAGATTCTAGAGGTTTTGATATGAATTTTGTTTAGGTTTAGATTCTAGAGGTTTTAATCTAAATCTGGTTTAGGTGTAGATTCTAGAGGTTTTGATATGAATTTGGTTTAGGTTTAGATTCTAGAGGTTCTAATCTGAATTTGGTTTAGGTTTAGATTCTAGAGGTTTTAATCTGAATTTGGTTTAAGGTTAGATTCTAGAGGCTTTAATCTGAATTTTGTTCTAATTATTTTCTCATCATAAAGGCACTTTGAGCTTAGAGTTTGTGGAAAATGATTTGATCCTGCTATCAGATCTAACTAATTTGAATCAAATTAGAAATTAGAACTTGACATTATAGATCAGAAAAAAATCTGCCTCATTCTTTTAAAAGGTATATAAATAGACAAAAGTTACGCCTTGAATTCTTCTGGTTCTTATATTGCTCAATGATTTTTCTCCTAGCTATGGTTCCGAACTTGGTTCTGTTTTTTTGTTGAACTCAATGGTATATGCTTTATTTTTAGACTATTTTTGATTTTGATCTGGTCGTAAGTTTGGTTCTTAGCTTTTTTTAGTTTTAAGTCCAGTTCTGGTTTAATCCTGGTACTGATATTATTTATAAGTTTGGTTTTGTTTATCAATTCTTTTTGTTGGTTCCAATTTTGGTCAGGGGTTTTTAGTTGGTTCTAGTTCAAGTGTGGTTCTATTATTAGTTCTAAGTTTAGATCTGTTTTAGATTTTGAGGTTGGTTCTGTTGTTAGCTCTGATTTGGTTTTAATTTGGTTTTCTTCTTTGTTTATATTTTGGTTCAGTTTTTAGTCTGATTTGGTGTTTATTCTGAGTTTAGTTTCCCTGGCTAGATCTGAGTTTGTGTTATATTTTCAGTTCTGAGTTTTGGTTGTATTTTCAGTTCTGAGTTTTGGTTGTATTTTCAGTTCTGAGTTTGGATTGTATTTTCAGTTCTGAGTTTGGATCTATATTTAGTTCTGCATTGGATCTGTTTTCAGGAGTTCGGTTCTGTTGTTAGTTTTAATTTGGTTTTATGATTTTAGCTGCTGTTAGTTCTTCTGAGGTTTTGTTTTGTTAAAATTTTCCTGGGACACCCTGTGCAGATAAATCTCACTATGGACACAGACACGAATATCTTGAATACATCCGGCTGTAGGGAGGGAGGGAGGAGGGGAGGTGGCCTGAGGTCAGGTCTGGATATTGGATCTATCTATCCATCTTACAATCTCATTTATTGCGTAAAACCTTATACGCTACACACACAATACGCATACACAGGGTCATTCATAAATCTGGTGGTTGGTATATAGCAGACAACATTTTATACTAATATTCTTTTAATTCTAGAGTATACGTCAGAACACGTTATACGTCAATCACTTAATAATTCATTATTATTCTGATTCCCCGTACACCTCCTCACCTCTTCCTGTATCAAGACTTTATCTACAAAACAGAATGTCTAAAAACTATGAGCTCTCATCTTGGTACTTCGATTTTCTGATTTAGTTTTTTATTTACTAAAATTAAGTCATTTATGTCAGTTTGAAGTTTTACTAGGTTAATGAATTATGTTAAAGTTATGTTAAATAATTTCAGAAATCACCCCCCGAGTACTGTAATATACAGATTGACCTTTGGAAGTGAAGTACATGGTCTTTGCAATTAGAAAAATGATTAGCGTACATCATCACTCTATATACTTTAACCTTGTTGATCTACACTCATGTATAGTCTAATTTGTAGAGGCGAACTATTCTACGTTTAGTCCATCTACACCCATGTATAGTCCAATTTGTGGAGGCAAACTATTCTACGTTTAGTCCATCTACACTCATTTATAGTCCAATTTGTAGAGGCGAACTATTCTACGTTTAGTCCATCTACACTCATGTATAGTCCAATTTGTAGAATCGAACTTATCTACGTTTAGTCCATCTACACTCATGTATAGTCCAATTTGTAGAGGCGAACTAATCTACGTCAAGTCCATCTACACTCATGTATAGTCCCATTTGTGGAGGCAAACTATTCTACGTTTAGTCCATCTACACTCATTTATAGTCCAATTTGTAGAGGCGAACTAATCTACGTTTAGTCCATCTACACTCATGTATAGTCCAATTTGTAGAGGCGAACTAAAGATTAAAACATCGAGTAATAATAAAAACAATTAAATCAGAAAACGAAAAAAGATAATTTTCAGAAGATGGAAGGATAAAATGGTCCAAGCTTTATCAGGCATCTGACAAGGTTCGTTTCAGAAATAGTTTAACCTGGCATACCTAGTTTAGATACTTCTCTGCCATTTATAAATTTCCATCTCTGATTATTTTGAACTGGTTTAATCGCTCGGGAATATTGAAGCTGACCCACTTCTAGTCGCTGATCTCAGCCTTAACATTTACAGCATACACAAGCATAGAATGGAATAAAACAATCCTGACAAAGTTAAATTTTCTAATCCCTATATCTGTGCAACCTGATGGTGTAAACCTTTGATATTTCCAACTAAGATTATTTTATATAACGTCATCCGTTGTTTGAAATATAAAATGTTAATAACAGCAGGTCGAAAGATTTAAGGATGAGAAAATATAAAATGTAGCGAATGTTCAGTTCCTTTATCACATTTTATAATAGATATATATTACAGAAGCTTAAAATCTAATTTGGAAACTAGAATTTTAATGAATTTATAAATTATTTTGTGATTCATTTATATTTCTTTCCTTATTCTGGTGATATACTTAATCTGTACATTATAATTTTTTCTGGAATGTTTACGATTCCAATGAAGCAAATGTCGATGGTTTGACAAAAAAAAAATTCAAATAATAAATTTAAATTGTAAAATGGGATTTCTTCTATATTCTGACCTTAGGTGAGAAACCTGCCATTCCTCCCCTCGTAGTTCTAGGATCTACAAAATATATTCTGAGTTCAGAACTTTTGAATGGAGTACCATTAATCTTCGATGTTTGTTATTGATATCCAATGTGGGAACTTTTGAATTTGAGGATAAATGTGTGTTCCCTCAATTTAATTTAACCCTGCAGGGTAGGACCATCACAGGAGTTCACGAGGTCTGCTTTTTATGGAGAACATTGCTCTATTCTCAGAAAGGGGACTATGTTTGATTAGTAGGTTGCTAATAAGCATGATAAGTAAGAATGAGTAGTCATAAGCTAACTGAATATATATTTATCTAACACAATATTTATACAAGATGCAGTATACAATAATCAAAACAATAACATATGAAGTATGGAGTATGCTGTGTACTGCATTCCAGGAATCCAACAGGGGCACCACAAGACTCCCACCAGACATCAGCGAGTAGAAAAAGGAGATTATGTATGATCTCTCACAAGCCTCCGATGGTTTCTTTGTTGCAGGAATTGCAAGTCATCTGCAGAAGGAGAAGCTGTAGTAGGTGCAGGGATGTCTGGTATAGCTGGAGCTGAAGGCCTAACAACAGGATGATGACAAGTCTACCATGGGTTGGAGGAACTGCAGGAACAACAGGATTAGTGGAGAAAAAAGGTTTAAGTCTATCAACAGAAACAGAATCTTTCTTGTCACCAATTTGCAATACAAAGAGCTTGTTTGGCCTCTTTAGGACGCGATAAGGACCTCTGTAAAGTTGAGAGAGGGGTGGAGCATCATCTCTTACAAAAACTTACATTGAATGAGAACAGGGGAAAGTTGTCGGGAGACTCAAGGCGGTTACGGTAAGTAGATTAGGAGAAACCAGCAAGAGCCTTCTCAAAACTCTGAATAAAAACCTTAGGAGGGAACTGAGCTGAATCAAGGAAATCTCCGAGTAGGGTTAGCAACAGATATCCAGTATCATCTTTATGAACAGAATGAAGTCCAAGAAGAACCAGAGGTAAGTGACAAATCCAATCAGGGCCAGCTAATAGAGCTCAAAGGGATGTTTTCAAATATCGGTGAAATCTCTCTATTAAACCATTACTCTGTGGGTGATAGCTGGTGGTTTGTGACTGTCTTATGCCAAGAATTGAACAAACTTCTGACCAGACTGAAGAGGTGAACTGTGCTCCCCTGTCAGTAGTGATAACTGATGTTACTCGAAAACAAGAAATCCATAAAGAGAGAAGTGCTTGTTCTCAAACCACAGCTTTTATTCGGGATAGTGGAACAACCTCAGGCCACCTGGAGGTCCTATCAATCATGGTGAGGACTTAAGTAAATCCCTGACTGATGGGGAGAGGACCAACCAAATCCAAAAGAACATGAGAAAAACATGATCGGTGAATAAAGTAAAACTTATACCTCCAGTCAGAGAAAGTTTACTTGAGAAGAACGCTAGTGGAGACTAACTTCCAAGGGCCTTATGTTGAAGGACTGCTCCAATGTGAGTGTTGGTGGCATCAACAGCATGGGAAATTGGGGCTTGAGGAACAGGGTGAACTAAGGATGGCTCTGCAAGGAGAAGTTGTTTGCCATTGATGAAAGAACTGTTCAGACCAAACAAGAGACTTGCCTGGACCCTTCAGAGCATTAGTTAATGGAGCCAAGACAACTACAGCATTCTTCATGATTTTTCGGTAAAAGTTGAGAAGACCCAAAAATCTCTGGAGACCAGGTTTATCAGAGGGAACTGGAAAATCCTTGATGACATCAGTGTGCTTGGACAGAGGTGGACAACTCGAAGCAGAGACTCAATGGCCAAGAAATTCAATCTCTGAAACAGCAAACTCACACTTGGTAGCCCATGTTGCCGGCAGAGCTCAAAAACATCTCGCAGGTGAGAAACATGGGAACTGATGTTCTTGGAGAAAACAAAAATGTCATCCACATAGACAAAACAGAAAGGGAGGTCTCCAAAAATCTGCTCCATCATTCTTTGGAATTTTTGGCCTGCATTTCTCAAGCCAAAAGAAAGCCTGAGGAACTCAAGCATACCAAAGGGAGTGATGATGGCAGGCTTCTGGATGTCAGAAGCAGACATAGGAACCTGGTAGTTCTGGAGATCCAATTTGGAAAAAACTGAGGAATCGTCCAAACAGGAAGTAAAATCTGCAATGATTACAATCTGGAATAGTGTCATTATTGAGCCTACGATAATTACCACCAGGTCTCCAACCTCCATCCTTCTTCCTAACCATATGGAGAGGACTGGACCATGAAGAACAGGAAGTCGAACAATGCCTGCTTTCTCCATTGCTGCAAACTCCAACCTAGCAATCTCAAGCTTCTCTGGGTCTAGATGCCTAGACTTGGAAAACACTGGAGGGCCAGGCTGAGTTTGAAGGTGATGACATAATCCATGCTTGGGAGGAGCGGCTGTGAATCCAACAGAGGAGAGAACATCTGGGAACTCTGTAAGAAGATCTTGAATGTAGATTGGGGTTGTGATAAGTGCTGCATGAAGAGCCTCTGATGATTCTGGGGGTGAAGAAAAAACTTCTCCAACTGCTGCCAAGGACGAAAAATCTAGAAATCTGTGGCCAGATACATTGTAGGAAATCAGCTAGTATGGGAACAGTTACAGGAGCTAGCTGAAAAGACCAAGAGCATCTTCAGGAGCCAAAACAGATGGGAATTTCTCTGGTACCAGATCATCCAACTGACGATCCATCAGCAGTTCTAAATTCAACAGAATTGGAGAATACAGAGCTAGAAGGTGGGTTGGAGCTGTAGTGAGGAAAAACAGAAATCGAGGCACTAGAATCCACAAGGAACTTCCTGTTACTTAAGGAGTCTTGAAGGAAGTTAAGATTACTCAAAGGTGAACCGGCAGGTAGAGTAAATAAACCCTACTGCCAGACTAGTGGTTTTCTGACCAGGTACAGGGCTGAAAACATCTATGAGAATGATTTCCAAATTTACGATGGTACTGGCAGTAAACATTGTCAGAGCTTGAAGAGGAGTGAGGAGCAGAAGCTGATCAAGATGCAGGAGACGACTATTACCATGAGGATTGGTACTTGGGTTTAGAGGAACCCCCGGGCCATCCAAGAGCAAAAACTTCATTCTATTCAACATCCCCATAGACATGAGAAACAGGAAAGAGGGCTCGACCCTACCAGAGTGCATCAGCTTTAAGAGCAAGAGCTCTAGGATCAAAAATACTCTCATGAATTAAGTGACTTCTAATCTCTGCAGGTAGTCATTGTAAGAAATGACCTCTAAACATAAAATCTGGCTTGGAGTCTGCAGGTTAAAGTGCCATTATATTGTTCATAAGAATGATAGGCTTCTGGTCCACAACCAATGGAAGGTTAACCTAAGCTTCAAATCTTTGCCACTCACTCAAGGAATGCAATTGAATATGTCTGTCCTTGAGTGATTCATAAGGAGTAACAGGCTGTGCAAGGAGTAAATCCGATAGCTGAGGAGCAACATCTTGGAGGTGGACAGAGACCACATAGTAAAACTTTGTCCTGTGCCTCAGCCTGAGCAAACCATCCCTCAACCTCCTCTGGCTTAAATGTAGGAAGCTTGAGTGAGACAGTGTTGATTAAACCAGAGTTGGTTGCTGCACAAGATGTAGTTTCTTACTCTCTAGACATGCTGAAAAAGAAAAGAATATATATATCACAGACTACACAGACTGCTTATCTCCTTTCACAGGGTGGGCTACGTAGGCCTAAGTTCACCCAGCACAACATGCTACGTTTTTACGATAGGTTCTTATAGTGCCATCTCACAGCCACTTAAGTTTTACAACTTTTAAAGAATTACTCCAATTTTAAACATGAACAAAAACATTTATGAATTCAGTCTTTTTTGAAGATTTTGTGTTTCGTATCTAAAGAATCTTTAAATATCCCTGAATACAGATGTTTGCTGATTGGTTGTGTACAGTAGTACTTGTACACAATAGAACATGCTGTGGAAAATATCCCATATTTTAGCTGATAATCGATCTCTGTAACTCTCTTATCTCTTATATATATTTATCTAACCCATGATTTATACAAGATGCAGTATACAATAATCAAGACAATAACATATGAGGTATGGAGTATGCTGTCTACTGCATTCCAGGAATCCAACACGGGCGCCATAAGTGAGACTTAATGTCGACCTGAGTTTTTTATATGTTCGTTCAGTTTTCAGAATCAAATTCAATCTTGCTCAAAATGCTGAAAATGCTGGATTCAAATTAAGAAACCACAAAATGAAGAAACAAGACTTAACAAAATTGTTTACAGTCTTATTCTGTTTTGTCGACCCTTTATATAAGCTAAATAAGTTACCTCATCTGTAATGTTTTCATTCACAACTCCACCAAACAATCTATGGTAAAAAGTTTCAAATATTTTTTAATGTTTTCAAATTAAATTATTAATGTTTGATTGCATTTCCAACCTTATATGATTATTTGTTGATTGTGAATGAAATGCTCTGGGTGCTGGTAAAGGAGTGAAATCGTTCCATCTTTTTATCCTTTAAATAGTATATTATCTTTCATGGTCTTTCAAGTCAAAGTTCCTGGAATAGATTTTTTTTTTCTATTTTTGCTGCGAAAATAATACTTTTTTATCATTTCATTTCATTTTACTACAAGATTCAGTGAAAATTATTGACTGGAAACTTGGTTGCTTGCTCAATAATTTGTATTTTCTTAGCAAAGCATTGAAACTTTTCAAACATAAAGGAAATAAATCATTTTTATATCTTCATGATTTTAATAAAAAATAATGCCTCTATTCTTACAAATAAAGAAAATCCTTCAAATTTTGGTAACTTTAACTCACCCAAATGAGAATATTTCTGTGCTGTCCATTGCCACAGATTCCTCCTTCTTTAGATATCATAATTAATTAAAAAATCAACTGTTTTTATTTGGATAACTATTTCTGATTTACAAAGTTTTTTATCATGGCACTTTTGCATTTTCTTTTATGTTAAATATACTTTGTTTGCTTTGGCACGGGATAAGTTTTCTACCTGTTGTAGAGCAGAACCAGGTTGACCTAAACCTCCTGTAACTACAACCACGTGATCAGTTTTATTTTCTGGCATTGACCTATGAAAAAGTTATGTAAAAATCCAGAGCGTCCAATATCGAATTGGATTATATCTATGCATTAACACCAAAATATGTGGACACAGTTAGAGAGTCCTGTATTTTTTGACGGTACATATATATATATATATATATATATATCTTTTTTAAATTCCAACTCATGGACTATTGCAAAATGTATTGTGTGCCGAAAGCAAAAGTTGATCGGGAAATGCAAATTAATATCAGAGTCAAAGGCGTATGGAGGCTCAGGCCTTTCTTGGAAAAGTAAAATGTATGGTTTTCAGGTTTTTTTGGGCTCTATAGACGCCAAGATACCACCCCTAGAAAGAAAAAATTGTAAGCCGCCCCCTTGGACATATTTCTGAATACGCCCCTGACAAGAGTAGGCTAAAAAACTATAAAGGGCTTTAATTTATAAATTTACTTCAGTTGTACTGAACATCCATGGTATGCCCTTTTCACCCGCATTGAGGGTAAAGAAGTCCATAGGTTTGATGTCACATTATAGAATGCCGCGTATGATCGCAGTATACCACCGTCTCCTAGTCCACCTACGACTAGTATACCGTCATGAACTGCGACTGCGCAGTGTCCAACCAGCCCAACGGTCATACTCTGACCGGACACCCACCTGGAAAATGATCTTTAGTAAAAGAATAACTATCAATATCTTGTAAAGATTTCTTTTCCAGTATTTTCCGATAAACGATCTGTTAATAAATCGATCAAATAGATTTTTTCTTAGCTTTTTGTGAGTGAATGTTTTCATTTAGGTAGCGTAAAGGTTGCTTTTTTCTCACAAGATTTGCGATGGACGCTTGTAGTTGAAAAATAAAAACTTACATCCTGCTGTGAGGTTCATAAATCTCAACAGATTTCAGGTATTCTCCATCGATCCCCAGTCCACCAAGTACAAATATTCTTCCAAACATTTCAACAGCTGCAGCAGAATGCCGCGCTTCTAGCATTGGAGAAACACTCTCCCATCGTCCAACACTTTATATGATATTCTTTTTAATCTACGGGGTGGGGAGAGTGGGGAACAAAGCACATAAATCAAACCAGGAAACAAAGTGACTAGAAAAGGGATGACCTATTTGGTGTCCTGTACCGTTTAGTCCTCTTTTGTCTGTATGAATGTTTATTATATACTGTACATTTTAGTTTTCACAATACATTCATCAATAATTCAGAAGAAAGAGTTTTATTTAGATCACTGAAAAAGTCAAAAATACATGAGGATAATTCAGGGGTCTCAAATAAAACATTAATAGGCATTTTATAGTTCAAGTTGAACATTTTTTGTTTGTTGCTAAAAGTGAGTTACTAACTAAAAGAAGTTGAAAATATTTCTAACCTGTTTTCTACATCAACTATCCGATAAGCATCACAAGTATCATTTGGAGCCAAATTTCCATCAAGTTCGGTACTTCCCCCACAAACATAGTACATAGACTCTGCACAAACATAGTACAAAGACTCTGCACAAACATAGTACATAGACTCTGCACAAACATAGTACATAGATTCAATACATGAAAAGTACATAAACTGTACCCAAACATAGAACATCGATTTGACACGATTTTACGCAAACAAAGTACATTGACTGTACACAAACACAGTACAGTCAACCCAGACCGAAATATATTTTCAATAAATGTGGGACTAACATCTACTTTTTTTACTCTTCGGAGTACGGAGGTTTGGTCCATCACCATCACCGAATTTTAAAAAAAAAACAGTACATATATTCTACACAAACAAAGTACATAGACTCTACACAAACATAGTATATGGATTCTACAGAAGCATAGTACATAGATTCTTTACATATGAGGTACATAGACTCAACAAAGCAAAACAAAAATAGTACATAGTTTCTAAAAAAAGGACATAAACTCTAAACAAACTTAGTACATAGGTTCTACACAAATAAAGTACATAGGCTTTGCACAAACAAAGTACATAGATTTACACAAACATAGTCCATAGATTCTTAACAAACATAGTATAACAGATTCCACTGAAATATAGTACACAAACATAGTACAGAAGTTTCTTCACTTACATAGTACATACTCTAAACAAACATATTACATTGATTTACACAAACATAGTAAATAAATTTACACAAACATAGTAATTAAATTACACAAAAATAGTACACAGACTCTACACAAACATACCTAGATAAGCAGACACGTGTCCCCATCTACTCCTGGGCATCTCTAGATTGTTAATCGTCATATTTTCTCCCAGAATTGTAACTTCTGATTGGTTTGGTTGAGCTGGTAACCCTAGACCACCAGATACTACTGTGGACAGGGTTTCAGATAAACCGCAGGATCTAACAAAAGTGGATTATTTTGCTAATTTGAAGTAATTTCAAGTGACCCTCCCATAAGTACATTGCAAAATAAAATGTTCACGCTTTCACGAAAAATCAAACAGTGTTTTGTCAATTACACTTTTAACCTTAACCAGGACACAATCCCGTTGCATTTTTCAAATGTATAAGTCTAGGGCTACAAAAAAGTGAATTGGTGAGGTAAAATCAAAGGTCAAGGCATTGCGACGTTTTAAAGTGGAGGCTGCCTGAAAATTTGATGATTAACTTTCAGAGTTGTCAATATCTCAGTAATTGTACCATTTAAACCTTTGTCCTCTGCTCAAAAATAGTTTCCTTTGAAAATTGTTTATCATTGTTCATGCATGGATTCCCCATAAAGTGCCGTTGTAAATCGGACATGCAGTCCTTCTTCAAATTGACGTTCACGTAAAATTACAAGGACAAACAAAGGTTTTGAATGAGGGAGATAATTCTTTTGATTGAAGATTCTCTTTGAAAGAAGTGTATAATCCCTTTAAATACCTGTTTCCAGTTTGGCAATCAATACATCCGTTGAACCTGCCAATACATCCTGAGAAGAGCATACAAAGCTTTTGTTCCCCCCACCAGGTCCAAACGCTGCACTCCAGATCCTGAACAGATTTTGACATTCAGGCCTCTCTGCGCCCATCTTTATATCGGCAATCTGTTATTTCTTTTATATTTTTTCCGATTCTCTCGTTTTTTGAGGATCTACAGAAATACACAAAATCTATAAAAAAAAGTACAGTTTAAGGAGGCTATGGTCTCACATGTATACTGTATACTGTATAGGAGGTCAAATGGTTCTACTTTTATGACGGTTTTGGCACAAAAGGTTTAGATAGGTTTCAGGTATATCTGAACAATGCAAAACTTTAAAATAGAAAATAGATTTCTTTGTGTGCACATCATTGCTTTAGTCTTGGACAAAGGAATTGAGTTTTTGCCGCAAACTCTGAATTTTAAATCCCTATATATTAACAACCCAATGGTGTAGACCTTAGATATTTCAAACTATGACTTCTGCTACATCAAACAATATAAGTTTGAAATATCAAAGGTTTACATCATTTGGTTGTAGATATTATAGGTATTAGAAAGTTGGTATTTGTGGCAAAGACTCATTTCCTTTGTCCAATAAACCGCATGCAGAAATTAGATAAACGCACATTTCAAGATTTTATTCAGGGAGGGGGGTGGGGTAATTGTCGGGACAGAAATTTAATCGTGCGTTTGTCCACTTTTAGGCTTAGTTAATACCAAATAATAGAAATTTTGGTGGGGGGGGGGGGGGGCACAGTTTTTCTGATACATCTGTAATGTTATTGACCTGTTCACATCTCTCTGAGCATCCGATAGTGTTGAATGTTTCATTAAACTCTCCAATAAAATATTTTTCTCCAGTATTCAGACAAGCCTAAAAGCATTTATTTTATGTTTGCACAATATGAAGCATGTTCAATTGACTATTCATAATCATAACTTATGTCTTACAGCCCTCTTTCTTTTTTACGAGGAAAAACTTAGTACTAAAACTTATTTTCAACTTATTCCCCATTACTTTTCGCGAACACTCCCTTTAAGATCTCCTGTACAATTTTAATTGTACAATGTGACTATATTCTTACCTCGTTTGTGGAGAGGCACTGCCCAATAATAGAATCCATCTAAAATGTATTTATTAAAACTTTAATTTAGATTTCTTTGTTTAATTATCTGGGTTCTGTTTAATCTTATTTTTCAAATAAGTCTTGTGGATCATTTCTGCTTTTCTTTCTGTCATGATTCTGTTTTATTCTGTCTTTTGCGTCACATCATTCTGCGTCGTCTTATCTGTCATACTTTCAAACTGTCGTCTTATCTGTCATTCTGTTTTTCTAATCTGTCTTACTTTTATTGGGATTCTATATCCGTTTTATCTGTCCTTTCGGTCTTGTGATTCTGTTCCTCATATAGGTCTCGTTCTATTTCGCCTTATCTGTCTTATTCGTTTCGTTCTTTTAGGCTTTATTTGTCTTATTAGTCTCGTTATTCTGTTTCGTCTTATGTATCGTAGTATTGTGTTTAGTCTTATTTGCCTTATTGATCTCGTTCTATTTCGCCCTATCTGTCTTATTAGTTTCGTTCTTTTAGGCTTTATTTGTCTTTTTACTCTCGTTATTCTGTTTCGTCTTATGTATCGTGTAAGTCTTATTATTCTGTTTAGTCTTATTTTCCTTATTGGTCTCGTTCTATTTCGCCCTTTCTGTTTTGTTCTTTTAAACGATATTTATCTTGTTCTTGTTATTCTATTTCGTCAATTATCATTGACTTATTAATTTTGTTATTCTGATTTTTTTTCATCCTGGTCTCGCGTTCTGTTTCGTCCAATCTGTATGTTTACTGTCTGGATTCTGTTTTGTCTTGTTTCTTCTATTTTCAATTCTGTTTTATCTTTTTAAACTTATCTGTCTGGGTTATCTGCCAGATCTTGGGTTTTCTAGTCTGTCTGACTCGTCTGGGTTTTTCTTGTATGTCTGTCTGGTTTGCACATTGCAAGTTGTGGTTCTCGTATTATAAACCCGCCATGCCAATTTATTTCCTTTATAACAGTGTGTTTACTGTTAATGGACTGCCAACTATATACTACCCACACACTTGCTCTTTACTTCCTGTTTTACAGTAATGGCCAGAATAAAGCGAAATTAAGTCGTCTTTGTTTAACTTTTTTATTAGAAAGGTATTTTGTACTTTGTAGATTTTAAAAAATGGCTTGACCATGTGCCGTGTGTATAAATACTGTTGATATGCAGTACATAGTGTACTTTACTTCCTGCTAACATGCAGTACACAGCATACTGTATGTCCTATTAATCTGCAGTACACAGCGTACTGTAATTCCTGTTTATAGGCAACACGATAGGCAATATACACCGTACCAAATTTTCATACACAGTAAACGCTTACATTATTTTAACCAAGGTTATAATGCAAGGAAAGTTATTTCAGAGGTGTACGCATATTTTGTACCGCAGTGTACTGTCTCTGTGCGGTAACGTAAACGCAAAACGGATGTCGAAGACTGACATGGGATACATCTTTCACATAAAAAATCAATGAAATATTTTGGTCATAGGAAACTATTATGTGAATTATCAAAATTATCAAAATTTAATGCTTTTAACCTCCTTGGATACTAAACGAACACTGATGCATCTATTTTTGTTTACAAAGTCCGCCCAGAGAGAACTGGTTTTAGTATGTACGCAGAGTATACTCAACTGCAATTAACTTTCCTTGCATTATAACCTTGGTTTTAACAATGTGAAATTTTAGCAGATTTTTAGCAAAGAAGTTGTAATTCTCTAAAAAGGCCATGTCAGATCGATATATACTGTGTTAACTATAAATCTATTTACTAATAAATATATAGATGATTTATAAATACTCCTATTCATCTTCTTTTGAATAAATAATATTTAAAACCATCGGTTTTTATATCGTGAGTTTACAACCTTGGTTTGAGTTGCATGGATGAATCCTAAGCTGGAGATTAGGCCCACCACTGAAACCAATCCAAGCATTTTTAATTTTCTAAACATTTTCTCAAATTCTATTAGTTTAGTCTGATTTGGCTACCTCTAATCATAAACTTCAAAAGGAAGGCAGACATTCTATATCACAAACCTTAAAACCTCGACTAGCAGGCCCTAAACCTTAAAACCCAGACCTTTTATATCTTAAACCTTTAAACATAGACCCCTTAGACCCTAAACGTGAACACACCCCTAGATCATGGAGTCTAAACCCTAAACCTTTAAACATATACTAAGTAGATTCTAAACTTAAAAAAGACCCTGTAGATTCTAAATCTTAAAACCTATACCTAGTATATCCGAAACATTTAAAACTTGATTTTCCTCCCCAGGGGCTCCAAGAATCCCGCAGTGGGAAAAATTGGACAACCGGAAAACTCCGAAATATGAAGACGACTTACAGACTTTATATATGACTTTAAATAGTCCAATAAGCCTGGTGCACAGCAATTGTACAATTTAAAAAGACCCATTTCACTAAATTAGTGATTTAGTAAGTGTCTAGTAGAACTATTTGCTTTGTTACACCATCAAATACACTTAAGTATTGCTACAAGTCGTCTTACTATTTCAAAGTTTTCTGGTTATCACTGTATTAAAAAAATTTGTACAATTTTGTAATTATCTTTTAACAAAACCATTTAAATTTTTTTTTAATATTAAAAACCTTGATCTTCTAACCTTAAAACTTAGACAAGTATATCCTAAACCTTGATATTCTAACCTTAAAANAGCCTCTTTTCCTTACCATTTAGATACTTGATACTTACCCTCTTTTCCTTACCATTTAGATACTTGATACTTAACCTCTTTTCCCTTACCACTTACATACTTGATACTTAATCTTTTTTCCTTACCATTTAGATACTTGATACTTACCCTCTTTTCCTTACCATTTAGATACTTGATAGTTAACCTCTTTTCCCTTACCACTTACATACTTGATACTTAATCTTTTTTCCTTACCATTTAGATACTTGATACTTACCCTCTTTTCCTCACCATTTAGATACTTGATACTTACAAGTATATCCTAAACCTTGATATTCTAACCTTAAAACTTAGACCAAGTATATCCTAAACCTTGATCTTCTAACCTTAAAACTTAGACCAAGTATATCCTAATCCTTGATATTTTAACCTTAAATTTAGACCAAGTATATCCTAAGCCTTGATATTTTAACCTTAAAACTTAGACCAAGTATATCCTAAACCTTGATCTTCTAACCTTAAAACTTAGACCAAGTACATCCTAAACCTTGATATTCTAACCTTAAAACTTAGACCAAGTATATCCTAAACCTTGATATTCTAACCTTAAAACTTATACCAAGTATATCCTAAACCTTGATATTCTAACCTTAAAATTTAAACCAAGTGTATCCTAAACCTTGATATTTTAACCTTAAAACTTAGACCAAGTATATCCTAAACCTTGATATTTTAACCTTAAAACTTAGACCAAGTATATCCTAAACCTTGATATTCTAACCTCAAAACTTAGACCAAGTATGTCCTAAACATTCAAACCTTGAACTTCTTGACCCTAACAGCTTAAAACCTAGGTCAGATAGACCCTATACCTGTAAACCTTTAACTTCTAGAAACTAAACCTTAAAACCTAGACCCTGTACAATCTTAACTTTAAAACTTAGACCATGTAAACCCTAAACCTTAAAACCCAGACCCTATAGCCTATATGGTTCGAAGAACCTAAATCTTTAAATTTGGACCATAGGCCCCAAAGATAGAATATTTACCTAGACCCCTAAGACCCTGAAACTTTAAACTTAGACCATAAACATTAAAACCTAACCCCTCTAGATCCTAAATCTTTAATTCATCAAAGTCTGAAACCTGAAATACCTGATCTATAACTCTAAACCTGAAACCTGAAACCCGTTAAACTAAATAACTTAGCATCAACATGGTTAAAATTATTGCGTGCAGTGTGTAGAGTAGAAGTACTATATTATACACATGGAAAGTACGGATGTTACAGATCCTGAGATATCCAACCTCAGTTCTTATACATCTCAAGTTTTACAATACTAATTAGCGGGTAGATTGGGTCTTAGCTCAGGAAGGGTTCACTATTCTGCATACAAGGTTTTACTAAAGAATAAAGTAAATATCATGTTTTAAAAAAGATCTGTGAATGCAGGTCAACAAGAGAAAAGTAAGGAATGATGCAGAGGATACAGGAAACAGAGGATACAGAGGATGCAGATGATGCAGAGGATACAGGAAACAGAGGATACAGAGGATTCAGATGATGCAGAGGATACAGAGGATGCAGATGATGCAGAGGATACAGAGAATACAGAGGATACAGAGAATACAGAGGATACAGAAGATACAGAGGATGCAGATGGTGCAGAGGATACAGGAAACAGAGGATACAGATGATGCAGAGGATACAGAGGATACAGAGGATACAGAGGATGCAGATGATGCAGAGGATACAGAGGATACAGAGAATACAGAGGATACAGAGGATACAAAGAATACTGAGGATATAGAGGCTACAGATGACACAGAGGATACATAAGATACAGATGATCCAAAGGAAATAGAGGATATAGAGGATACAGTGGATACATATGATACAGAGTATACAGAGGATACAGAGGATGCAGAAGATGTAGTGGATGCAGAAGATGTAGAGGATGCAGAAAATACAGTAGATGCAGAGGATACAGAGGGCATAGGATTATATATATAGAATTGTAGATGTAATATGGACATGAATAAAAAATCGGAACAACGTCAGAAATTACAAATTAAGACTTGCAAGTTTTCTGAGGTTCGAGAGATCTAGAGATAAGAAGAAGTATGTTGCAAAGATTTTAGTATGTTAGAAAAACGAAAAACGAAAGAGAACATATTGGTTACATTAGATATCTCCATACAAACCAGCCAACAGGAGAACATTTTAACCTTCCTGTACATGAACTCTACCATCTAAAAGTTAGCATACTAGAGAAGGTTTGGGACCTCGAAAGAAGTTAACTTGAAGTACGAGAATCTAAATACATGACTGAACTTAGAGAAATGAACAGAAAAAAATAGTTTTTATTTAATTTTAAACTGTAATTCAGTATCTTTTTAAAAAAAGAGTTGTTTAGGTCCAATTCTTTAAAAGGTTTAAATACCCCTCCTTAAACAAGCCGTCCCCCCCCCTCCCCCCGATTTACGCAAAATTTCGTTAATTAGATCGACCCCCACCACTACTTTATACACATACATCTTAACAATTTCTTTTTAACCTTTGTGAAAGAAATACTCTCAAGGAATAATAATTGTCTTAAAACATTTTTTTTAAAGTGAATATTTGCAAATTATCTTTTTTCCATCTGATAATCTGAGTTCGATACCCTTATGTCTATTTGACAGCCCAAATTTTTATTTTGAGTAATTTTTTTTGTTTGTTTATTTTCTTGTGATTTTTAACAAACATTTTTTAATATATTTTTTAACGGTTATTGGTTATTATATCGTTAGAACTGACGAGGGTCAACCCAGACCGAAATATATTTTCAATAAATGTGGAACTAGCATCTACTTTTTTACTCTACAGAACACCGAATTTTAAATAAAATCAAATAAAAGGAAGAAGGGCCAGTTGGAAACATTATAATAAGCTACAGGAGTCCATATAAAAGATACCCAATGCCCATGACCATTTGCAATTTGAAGTTAGCCAACTTTCTATTTTCTTATTCTTGAAAGATGAAAATATTTAGTTTTCAATCTACCTTTCAGTTTTTACTTAGACACAAAACTTTCTGATCCAACCTCATTTTGAATGAAAAGTTCAAGAATGACAAATGTATAGTGGTGTATAGCGTTTATATCAATTTAAAACTATTATTCTGCTTTAGTTTCGATTTCCAACAAGATATTTTTCAAAATTTAACTAAAATTAAACAAAGAGAAGCTGTTAATTAGTACAAAGTCGTCTTCATTGTATTGATATATACGACGATGACTGTACTTTCCCAATGGTCACTGTTAATCTAATGATAATTAATGATTTAAATATCATACATTGTAACATACAGTATATGTAGTATACCTACTGAATATAATGACTAGACTGTTAAAGAATATTGTGGTTTGGAAACTATATCTTCACCTGATAAACTTACAGGCTTTTCTAACAATTAACACAGAACTGATAAGAGTTATAAATATTTCTGAAATCTACCTTTCGTGAATTAACTAAGAAAGGGACCTTCCCTCCCCCCCATACATTTATAGCAATTAAGTGATAATTTACATACAAGGCTTCTAAAAAAATAAAAAATTAACATTTTCTCACAATTTATGATTTATGTTTATAAAATATATTCTGTGGTTTAGAAATCTTTATATAATCTACAAAGTCTAGTTGGCACTTGACAGACTTCACAGCCATTACAAGGCCTAGGGTACAGTGGAAGTATATAAGAATGAAGCTTTAAAACGAAACAATATCGCATGTTTGCTTATTTCTTACTTTATCTCTAGTTTTCTAATATATATATCTATCTATGGGAAACTGTTCTTTAGTTATCTATCTATCTGAAGGAAACTATTCTCAAGTTATCTTTCTATCTATAGGTAACTTTTCTCTAGTTATCTTTCTATCTGTAGGGAACTATTCTCTAGTTATCTTTCTATCTGTAGGGAACTATTCTCTAGTTATCTTTCTATCTGTAGGGAACTATTCTCTAGTTATCTTTCTATCTGTAGGGAACTATTCTCTAGTTATCTTTCTATCTGTAGGGAACTATTCTCTAGTTATCTTTCTATCTGTAGGGAACTATTCTCTAGTTATCTGTCTATAGGAAACTATTCTCTAGTTATCTATCTATAGGAAACTCTCAAGTTATCTATCTATAGGAAACTATTCTCTAGTTATCTATCTATAGGGAACTATTCTCTATTTATCTATCTATAGGAAACTATTCTCTAGTTATCTGTCTATATGAAACTATTCTCTAGTTATCTATCTCTAGAAAACTATTGTCTAGTTATCTATCTCTAGGAAACTATTCTCTAGTTATCTATTTCTAGGAAACTATTGTCTTGTTATCTATCTCTAGGAAACTATTCTCTAGTTATCTATCTATAGGGAACTATTCTCTATTTATCTATCTATAGGGAACTATTCTCTATTTATCTATCTATTAGAAACTATTCTCTAGTTATCTGTTTATTAGAAACTATTCTTTAGTTATCTATCAATAGGAAACTATTGTCTAGTTATCTATCTATAGGAAACTATTCTCTAGTTATCTAACTATAGGAAACTATTGTCTAGTTATCTATCTATAGGAAACTATTCTCTATTTATCTAACTATAGGAAACTATTCTCTAGTTATCTATCTTTAGGAAACTATTCTTTAGTTATCTATCTATAGGAAACTATTCTCTAGTTATCTGTCTATAGGAAACTATTCTTTAGTTATCTATCCGCGAAGAATTAATTGTAAGATCACGATTAATCAAAATCTATTTACGTCGAATATTGAATATTTTACATAAAATTATAAAACCAGCGTTTAGGAACATCTCATCATACCTAATCAAATACATAATATATAATAAATCTCTAGATATCTCCCATTTATTTTCTAGAGTCGTAAATAGAGTATTGAGTATTGCACCTATTCACGTGGAATTAATAATAAAATATTGAAATTGAAATTTTTTTATTTAAAAAAACATTATTTGTTTTCACAAGTAATATCATTTGAGCTTTGTACTATTGTTTGGTTTAAAAATGTTAACACCCCCCCTCTCCCCTTTGATCCCCATAAAGCGGGAAATAATTGAATTAACCCATCAGAAAATTAGCATAAAAATAACTACCTAATATATTACACAATTTACAATGAAGAGTAAACATGGAACAGAATGCATCAGATTAAATTATACAAATATTTTTGTTTGTTATATCCTGGTAAAGGAAAACATGAGACACAGGATTAATGTATTTTGCTTTAATGAAAAAAATTGCGTATGTTACCACATTAACAAGAATTAACTATTTCATTGGTCTAAACACTTGCTCGCTAATCAACAACTCATTAAGAACGTTAACTAAGTTACTAGTAACCTAAAGAATCTAAGTTACTTGTAACCTATAGTTATTAGTAATCTCCATAATCTATATTAAGAGTAATCTATGTAGACTAGATTACTAGTTATCTAGAAAGTCTAGATTCTCTAGGTTATAATATAGAAGAAAATCTACAATCTACATTACTATTATTAGTATCCTAGAGAATTGTTGAGTGAACTGGGCTAGAAATAAATACATTGATCAAATGCAATAATGTAGAATTGACGACATATTATCAAACAACTTATTTTAAATAAACAAACAGAATAATTTGTCAGCCTTTTTATCAACAACTAAGATAAACCAACAATAAAATTGTTAAAAATATAAAATTGTATATATGTATATATGTATGTATAAACTAGATTATAATCATCAACATGGGCTCAAAAATAATGCTGAACACTTTTTACAAAAATAAATTTTGATTATTTTGGAAATTTAATTAAAAATAGGCGCTTTTTGTAGAGAGCGTATTCACCGAGTTTCTCTTAAAAAGTGCTTACTTGATGACATACTGGGATTTAAAGAGAGCAGCCTGATTTTTCTAAAAAAAAGAAAATTAAATGATACTGGGGGTTTACAATTCATGAATGGAAGAATACGTAATCTAGCAGGGATGTGAAGAGAAGAACTAGAAGATCTGGTGATAAGTTGGTTGGATAAACTTCATCATGTGTCTGGACGGAGTAAAACTGAAGGTAGGTAGCGAAGGTATCTATTTGGTTGAATGTTTCACTTAATACGTTGTTTAATGAAGATACCGCGTTCTCTACTTCAACTGGGCTTTAGTAGAGAGGTCTTTAGACGTCATTGGAGAACAACTCGTACTGCAACAGTGGGACAAGCTGTACAGTACTGCAACAGCAATAGAAGCTATAATGTGCTGCAACAGGAAGACAGGGTATCGTACAGCAGTACAAGCTGAACTCTACTGAAACATAAGAACAAGCTGTACAATGCTGCAGTATTAAGACAAGTTTTACTGCACTGCAACAGGAGGACAAGCTATACTATCCTGTAATAGTAGGATAATCTGTACTATAATGCAACAACAGAACTTAGTAGTACCTTACTGCAACAGAAGTACAAGCTGTACTGCACTGGAACAGGAGGACAAGTTATACTGTCCTGTAATAGTAAGATAATCTGTACTGTAATGCAACAACAGAACTTAGTAGTACATTTCTGCAACATAAGAACAGGCTGTACTGTACTGGAACAGGAGGACAAGCTTTACTGTACTGCAATAGCATATAAAGTTGTACTGTACATAAATATTTCACCTCTCACAGCTTGACAACTTCCAAAATAGACATTGGTGGGAAATGACATCGTTAAGAGTTGTTCTGCTAAGTTTAAGAGATGTGTGAACTATTTATCTGAGTGACTACGTCAAAGTGGAGCACAAGGAACAAGATCTTTAAAACTAGGTTCCCCAGACTGCTGCTGTTGCTGGGGAAGGGGGGAGCTAGAGCACAATGGTCGCTCGACCTGAAACATATTTAGTTGTTTACATAAAAGCCAAAAAAATAAACGGACATTTGACGATTTCCCTCCTTATTATTGTGTTCACCGTGTCTAATAAAAAGCATGACAAACCATCACATTTGTGTCTCACTCACCTAAAAGCTAGATTTTATGGAATAAGATCTTCTACCTGAGGGGCTAGAGGTCCCTGAGTTGACCGATTGTGACGAAGATGGGAACGGACGAGATGACCAGCTGCTAGAGCAGACATGAGACTCAGTTCCCCTGCTAGAACAGCTCCACAGACTATTCTAGCCAGCTGGGATGCATTCTCTCCTGGGCAGGCGGGATGAGGTCCTCGGACACCAAGCATCTCCAGGCATGCTCCTTGAGCTGGTAGGACAGTTCCTCCTCCTACTGTTCCGACCTAGGATTATATAATTTAATATTTCATTTTTGAATCCACAACTTTTTTACAATGCAGTTCTAGTTTTTAAACGACCGATAATCAGATTAAACTGTCTTAAAATTAATGTGCATACTGTACAGTGTACATACCTCTATACTGGGCATTGTGCATGTTATGTACAGATCCTCTCCATCCCTACCCCAGGGTTCCATTAGTGTAATACAGTTACTACTTCCAACATTCTGTGCAGCATCTTGTCCAGTAGCAATATATATAGCTGTGATTATATTTGCTGCATGTGCGTTGAATCCACCTAGAAAATAAATTGTATAATTAAAAAAACTTAATATCGGCTGACTGAAGTTTAAGTTCTTTTTTGTGTGTTTATACCTATGGATCCAGCCATGGAAGAGCCAATGAGGTTTTTAGATATATTGAGGTCGACAAGTGCTGAGGTTGAAGTTTTAAGAACAGTTTTAACAATAAAAGCTGGAACAATGGCCTCTGCAACCACAGATTTACCTCGACCCTCAACCCAGTTGACGGCAGCTGGTTTCTTATCTGTGCAGAAGTTTCCTAAAATAAATTAGGTCAGATCCAACCTGAATTAAACATCATTCAGTGGATATTCTTTCTACTTTATTAAACCCGATCCTTTACCTTGCAAGGTCCCACCACATGGAATACGAACATGAAATTTTATAACTTTGTTTCAAGGCAGAAAAAATGGAAAACCATTTATCAAAAATCAGTTAAAGTTAATTTCCAACCAAACCATTATAATGTTTACGCTAACGAAATGTTGTGTAAAATAAGAGGGGGAAAAAAACCCAGAAAGATTGAAATTTCCGGCTCACAAACCTGAAAGGCTGAGGATTTCCATATCCGGGAAGATATCCAACATTCGTCTCAATGAGAACTCTGTCGCTTTACTAAGCATGTTCATGCCCATAGCATCGCCACTCTTGGCAACAAATCTGATATAAAGAAGTCTTCCGGCGATGCGTATGTGTAATCGCTGGAGCCTAGCAAACCGGCTTGTGGAGTCGAAATTTGTTTTCACAACCTCAAAATTTGATTTGTTTTCCAACCAGCGCATGACCTCTGTGGCTCTATGCATGGATGGCAGTCTTATCACTGGACCTCTAGTCATACCATCATAAGTTATTGCAGTGTTAACACCACAATCCTTGAGAGCTCTACACCCTCGGTTAGTGCTGGCAACCAGACAACCTTCAGTTGTCGCCATTGGGATATGTATAGGGTTTCCATCCAGGTTGAGAGGTCCCACGACCCCGACAGGTACAGGCATATATCCGACCACATTCTCACAACACGCCCCCATTACCAGCTGGTAGTCGTAATGTTTGTAGGGGAGTGTGTTCATGGCACGTCGCATGTTCCCAGCTTTACCGATAATCTTTCTTCTGATCTCCACACCCCTGGTTGGATTGTTAAGGATCTTCTCCAGCTGGTGGCAAGCAATATGTTTGGTGTCAACTAACTGAATAATCTCCTCGTCTATGAGAGAGGAGGTTCCATCCTCGGAAGAATTCATGATTTTCACGCATTCAGCCACTTCTCTTGGTACTTGCTCATAGTCCTGGGTTAAAGAAAAACATGAATTTGACAAAAGATTTAACAATAAATAACTTGAGATCGGATGATAATCTTACCAGTGAATCCTTCTCTTCCTCTAGGGTTTGATCGTGGTAGGATTGAGATGGTTGAACAGTCGAGTCTGTTTGAACCTCGGCATCCACAGCCTCAAGGTACATCTCAGGCCAAGGACTCTCAGAGAATGAATCACATCCAACAACGATAGATACTCTATCCCTAAATTATTTACGTTTAATCAGCTGTAATTTATAAAACTTAACGATTAAATGGTGTGATCTGTGGGTGTGGGGGGGGGGGGTCTATATCTTACCTGTGAGAATGCAAAGATTTAGCCCCGGCTGATAATCTTCTGTCCAAGTTGCTAGACAACCGTCGGTCAAAGTTAGCAGACATTCTTCTTTGAGACAGTGTACTTAGGCTGATGCCTTCATCTAAAAATTTAATCTTATAAATTTAAGGAAAGTCCGCATTAAACTATTTTTTCTCGAATTCTAGTTTGAGTATTGGGTTTTATTGATTATCTTTGGTAATGTTAATTATTCGAATTCAAATCGAGATGAAGATATTACAGTGTTGAATGTTGATAGTGTAGAGACAAGGAAACGCTTGAAGGTTAACGTGGTTTCCTGCGTATTTGGAGAATGGTATTTATGGAATTCTTGTATACCGGATTCAGGATGTAGCTCAGCTAAAACATAAACGGGGATACTACCGTCTTCAAATTGAATAGAATGGCTCGGGGCAAGTTACTCCCACTACACACTACATATATGAATATGTGTACCGTAGACCAGTCCACAGGTCCGTGCATCATGCGTTCTCGAGTTTACGCTAACGCATCCTGTGTGCGGATGCCACATTATATTCTTATATACGCTTACTATATCTTCTTGCCAACTATCACAACATAAATTTTGTTTTAACACAGGGATAGTAAATTATTGATACAGGATTTATGGAATTTATTGTCGCCTATGCAGCAGCGATCCTGTTAAACAATATTCAAGATAGAATTTACCCCTGTAATTGTTTTGGAAGCAAGCAGATTTTCTTTGTATAGGCTGTGCAGTTTTGTGCAGTGTAAAATTAGTTAACCTTATGCTAACGGTTTCTATGGAAGAGAGAAGGTTGCATCAAACAAATACAAGAACAATACCAATATTACACCTCACAAGTAAAAAATAATAATAGCAATGACAAAATACAAATAATAAAAATGAAGAAGGAATTAAAGAAGTAGGTAGACCCAGAGGGGGCAGGGTACTCCCCCCCCCCTAAAAAAAACTGAAAATGAAGAAGGAAATAAAGAAGTAGACCCAGAGGGGGCAGGGTACTCCCCCCCCGTAAAAAAACTGAAAATGAAGAAGGAAATAAAGAAGTAGACCCAGAGGGGGCAGGGTACTCCATCCCAAAAAAACCTGAAAATGAAAAAGGAAATAAAGAAGTAGACCCAGAGGGGGCAGGGTACTCCCCCCCCCCGTAAAAAAAACTGAAAATCAAGAAGGAAATAAAGAAGTAGACCCAGAGGGGGCAGGGTACTCCATCCCAAAAAAACTGAAAATGAAGAAGGAAATAAAGAAGTAGACCCAGAGGGGCAAGGGTACTCCCCCCCCGTAAAAAAACTGAAAATGAAGAAGGAAATAAAGAAGTAGACCCAGAGGGGGCAGGGTACTCCATCCCAAAAAAACCTGAAAATGAAAAAGGAAATAAAGAAGTAGACCCAGAGGGGGCAGGGTACTCCCCCCCCCCGTAAAAAAAACTGAAAATCAAGAAGGAAATAAAGAAGTAGACCCAGAGGGGGCAGGGTACTCCATCCCAAAAAAACTGAAAATGAAGAAGGAAATAAAGAAGTAGACCCAGAGGGGCAGGGTACTCCCCCCCCCCAAAAAAAAAACTTATAATATTACCCACCCTGCAATACAAGCTCGAAATACAGCTATATATGAATTACACCAGATAAAAATAGAGCTGTACACCAACTTACAATAGATCAAAATACAGATGAACAGGACTAGGAGGTACATAAGAACAAAAATAAGCTGTACATAAGAAACACAGGTTCATGATTTTATTTTTTGCTAACAGGCAAATACATGAGAATGCAAACTTACTTGCATTCTTTTAAACTCAACTTAATTTTCATTGTCATGGATCATCTATCTATCAATCTTAAAATGCAGCCAATTACTGAGCAAATTTACCGTTAATCTCAGTGTTACCTACTAGTAATTTAAATAATTTGAAATTTTTATACTTGTGGCTATTTCGAGTTCTTCAATGAGTTTTATTTTACTATTACTATAATGTATTTTCATTAAATGGTTTATTTGTGTGTTTTTAAATGCATTTCATTCAATTTTTATTAGCCAGTAGTTGAGTTTAATATCGTTTCAGATAATAATAGCCCACCATATTAAACCGTCTAACCATGCATGACGGAATTTCCAAAAGTGAAAATAAATCCAGGTTTAATCTGTTTTGCTGCACCTAAGGACTCCAGTATGCAGTATATTTTGGTAATCCCGGATGCATCCATCATCTTGAACAATTAGGGGCCTTTAACTTTTAAGGGACAGGGTATTTACAAAATAGACAAAGTACAAAACCAGTTTTAAATTAAATAGGAAAACAGTTCTTGAAGAACAAAGATAAGAGTTTCAGTTTACCTGTTGAGTTCGAAGATCTATCCATCTCGTCTCCACCAGTACGCACACAGTCTCTCAGAGTTGACCGCTCGCTGGTGTTGGTGTCCACGGACTCACTCTCACTGGCCTCCTCGAACTTCCTCTCCAGCTCCTCTAGGTAGGTTTTCCTGATTCTGCAGTTCTCCTCCCAGTCCTCGTAGAACAGGTACTTCACAGCCAAAGCGAGCACGAGCTATTAAAAGTAGAGGATTACGAAAACATACTTTTTTCAGAAACAAAACAGACAAGTCATTTAAAAAGCCCCTCAAATTACACCGTTACATGCCCGATTAACAACGGTACATTTTACCATGTTCGTTTTTGTTACAGATAAAATTTCTCCATAACTCCTTTCTGCTTTATTACAGTAAAAATGCTGTAAAAATCCTCAGGTCACTTTTATAGAGAACTGCAATTAATAAAAATTTTAGCTAAAAAACAGGGTTAACATTATATTTTTTGATCAGACAAAGGATTAGAGGGTATCGTTTTGATCGAATATACCTGTTCATAAAACAAGTCACTTGAATTTATGCTGACAGCCTTTTTTAGAAGAAATAAGGATTTTAAACAATAAAAACTACGAGGGCAAAAGAAAAAAAGATAAAATGGAGACAAACAACATAAAGGGCAAAAATATTACCGCAAGGATGCAGAACTGCTCTGCGTTAGCAACGATGAGCTTTAACCACTCGCTACTGATATACTGAGCTGTCCTAGCAGATTTTTCTACCGAGTAATCTACCGGCCATCGGCAGAAGGTGTGCACCACCACCAGTCCGGTCATAGCGATCACGCGCACCCTGAACACATCAATGTTATCTGATGATCTGGAGCCAGGGTCCCGCTGAACCCTAGACTAACTCTGTCTCCAACCTATTGTTGAACATCACCAAATACAGGTTGGGTCGTCACCTCGACATGATAAATGATTTTATCGAGAATATATACTTCAAACTAAATTCTAGAAAGTCATAAGTATACTAATTTATCACCAAAATACCGCGTTGCGTTGAAGATTTAGAAATTTAATTTAGTCATAGTAAACCAAACATTCTCAGCATTCTTATCTCATGTCATTTATTATTTCAAAACAGGATTTCCTATATTTAGACAAATCGCTAGGTTATTCTTAGAAATTAACCCCTAGCATATTGAGGGTACTTATCATACAAATAAAAGACTGTATCAAGTAGTATCAAGATATACAGGTTTATATAGTTAAACTCATCTATCTCAACAATTATTCTAATTCAAGGTCATTCAACTGTTGGAATTCGTCGTACAGGATGTTAGAACGGAACCTATGCATCTCCCCCCCCGGCCCTCCACTTGTTATTACCTATACACAACAGAATTCTGTGTCTCTTCATGAGGAAGCATCTTAATGATCTGTTTTACATCCCAGTGCGGACGCCCGTTCTTGTTGAACATTAACTCTATGACCAGGGAGAGCCCGGAGGGGTAGAAGCTCATGAAGGTCAGAAAGTCAACGAATACTGTGATCAGAGCAAAGGTGCAAAGTAGTTCTAGTCGAGTATAGTTTGTCAGTCCACAGAGTCCGACAACAAGGACTTTTCCAACCGTCTCGAAAGTCATAACAGGACCAAGCTGGGCCATCCCGACAGCCAGGTTCTCAGATATACGTCGCTGATGAGAGGAAGTCAGAGCAAACTGGGCAAGACGGGTCACCTGGGAAATATGTCGAGTTAAAAACAACTCAAATTTCACAAATTTAAAAAATGAGTGTTCTCACCTTTGGTATATCCGTGAAGAGCATGATAAGAAACCAAGACTCCTTGACGTTATCAAACTCGGGTCCCATCATACCGAACACGATCAGGCTGTACAGGATCATCGTGAAGGCAAGGTAAGCCAAAGTGATCTTCATGATAAGACTGGAGCCGACCCTGTGAACCTTCTTGAAGTGGTAGTAGCAGTGCAACAAGGCCAGGCAGCGGATAAATGTCATGATAACCAACTCCATTGTGGTCCAAGAGCCTCCAACCTGAATATTCATAAATATATATTTATGAATAAAAAAATCCTTAAACTCTAGATCTGGTGTGATTTATATGACAAAAAAATAGCATTGTCAATTATAGTGATCCTCCATTAAAAGACTTTCATCAGTAACTCACATTGATAGTCTTTGACCCTCGAAATAGATCATTAAGATATCATCGTTTTCTGAGGCTGAAAATTGATTGAATGCTGCAAGATTTTTTCAGATGGAGACTTCTGGATCTGTGAACTGGATGTATTAAAAATATTCCTACCCCCTGATCTCTGTGTACTGGATGTACTAATAATATTCCTACCCCCTGATCTCTGTGCACTGGATGTACTAATAATATTCCTTCCCCTGATCTCTGTGTACTGGATGAATATTCCTACCCCCTGATCTCTGTGTACTGGATGTACTAATAATATTCCTACCCCCTGATCTCTGTGCACTGGATGTACTAATAATATTCCTTCCCCTGATCTCTGTGTACTGGATGTACTAATAATATTCCTACCCCCTGATCTCTGTGTACTGGATGTACTAATACCATTCCTACCCCTGATCTCTGTGTACTGGATGTACTAATAATATTCCTACCCCTGATCTATGTGTACTGGATGTACTAATAATATTCCTACCCATGATCTCTGTGTACTGGATGTACTAATAAAATTCCTACCTCTGATGTTTGTGTACTGGATGTAGTATTAAGGTTTGAAGGTTGGGGTTGATCTCCATGTTTCCCCCAGACTGTGAGGATGCAAACCAAGAAAGTTAGCGTAGCTACGATCACCTCCCAGGGCTGACTTGCACAGAACTCCCCGTGGTTACGGAACACCTACGCAAATTAAATAATATCTTATTTTGAATTAAAATATTCAATGTTTTAGATGAATCTATTTGTTTTTGTAAAAAGGTTTCTAAAATGGACCGATTTGTATTTTGGTATAATATACAAGGTATGAACCAACCTTCCGTACAGTGTGAGTGAGCATGGTGGAAGGAGAGGGGGTTCTACTCCCAGTTCTACCAGTTAACACCTAAATTCAATCAATTTATAAATGTTTGGTTGTCTAGCATAATTAGACCATTTTTAGCTTTTCGAGTAAGCTTCAATCGTCGAAATTTGTAATCTCAAGCTAAACTCATAAAAATCCCAGTTTTTTTTAACAAAAAACGCGTTTTTCATTTCAACTTACTGCCTTAAAAGAATTGGTTGACTGAGAAAAATCTCAAGTTAACTAATATTTTTTAACGTTTTAAACGAGGAAAGGTGTTTCTCATCAAACCGTGGACAATCCTGACATACGCGGTTGAAGTTATAATATGTAATTAATCATTTCATAGTTTTAAAATATTAAATCATTTAAAACATGAATCCTTACTAGTATAAAACTAAAAGAATCGTTAAAAAAAAAAAAATTGGACACTGTATGTGTTGTGCACACACGTAAAAAGAAGGGTTTAGCAATATCTTAGGCAATTAGCACCTCTAAATAAGTATGGAGGCAGTAAAAAGTAAGTAGGTTCTAACTTTAATCTTCCGGAATATGAAGCAATCAGCCACAACCCACCCCCCTCCCCCCCATCCCAGTCTCCATGGTATCGTAAAAAATAATGAATATTGCTCCACTATACAATTATTCACTAACAAACCAACTGACGAGAGTTGATTTCCTGGTGAGCAATTTTTACAAAATAATTTTTTTAAGTTTTAAAAATCATAAATTTAAAAAGGAGTAGACGTTGGATAAATATTTTGATGCTTTTAACAGTGAATGCCAAACTTAACAAAACTAAAGGGAAAAAATAAACAAAAATCATTGATCTTAAACATAACTTCATGAATTACACCCGGATGAGTTTAACTCATTTTAATTTAAAAGTTTCCAGCTCTGGCCTAGTAAAAAGTGACAGTATGGCCGGGTAGAAAGTTTTAAACCAGGTTATGGATTTGCCTCACACATTTATATGTATATAAATCCTAGGCTAGTGGTTCTTATGTTAGATGTATGTGGAGGGNTTATAAACTGAACAAATACTATAGAAGTAATATTTTAAATATTTACACAATTCCTTCAGCCTGGTTGGCACATTAATCAAATACAGGCAAACATATTTTGCAAATTGTATTTTTCATATTTGTAAATATTTATTGAGGTAAATGTAAAATAAAATATACAAGCCACAAATTAAAATTAACTATTACAACTTAAAAATAACATTTTTACATGTTATCATTGACTAAAAGTTGCTCATTCGTATACAGTCATATTAGTCATATACAGAAAGACCCGGAATTAATTGACAATTAATCAGACGACTTTTCCATCGTCTTAGATATTTGAAATAGTTTCCGGCATTCATGATTGATAAAACGATAATTACAAAATTACCCTAGTCCTGCCATTTCCAAAATGTGGTCTGCCCTTGTAGTGCGTTCAGAACTACCCGAGATATAAAGAGATTTAGTTAATGTCATTTTTTATTAAATAAAACGAAAATTTTCTAATTTTGAATGAAATCATTTATATCTACTGATGAATTTGAACGCACAAAACAGGCAGACCATATTTTGGAAATGGCAGGACTAGTTTTTGATCATCGTTTATTCAATCATATTTTTATAATTGTAAAATTAGATTGACAAGTGAATGCCGGAAACTATTTCAACGATGGAAAAGTCGTCTGATTAATTGCCAATTAATTCCGGGTCTTTCTGGTTATCACTGTATAAAAAGAACAATACCCGGCGTTGCCCGTAGTTTTCTAAAAAATCATTTTAAAAATCTACGGCAGACGACCTCCTGCTTTGTTACTCGTAAGGTAAGTTGTTACATTTTTAAAGTTACACTGAAAGTGTTAAAATTTAACTGCATACAGATGTAACATACACAAACATAACTCCGCCGCTCTGTTGGATAAATAGAGAATGTTTATTATCGAGTTTTAAAGTTTAGTTTAAGAAGAATGGTAAGTAAAGGTTTCCAACCCTATTCCCTGGATCCATCTTGATGCAGTTCTAGTTCACTACTGTAGGATTTCTACTGAAGGATGGGGGGGGGGGGGGAGATACGACCGATACTTAAATTTATCAAACCTTATCACGTTCTACTTGTATAAGATGCAATTCATCACAACAATCATTTATAAATTTTGTGAAATTTTTTTAAGCGAACAAAACTGAAATGTTTGGTGCAGCTAAGGTTTAAATTACATAATTATTTACTTGATCATATTCAATAGATTATTAGGGTAAGGTTAGAGAATAAATATTGAATTTAAACTCTGGGTCTAATTAT